ATAACATGATATATTACTCTGAAAGTATTTATAAAAACACACTCAAAAAATTTATTTGACATTTGAGCTTTTTGGTCCTTTCAGAGGCAGGTGAGAATAGAGGAATAAGTGCATCAGCATTTTTCTAAGCCTGGTCAGTAAGGAAAGACTAACAGCAGGGTTTAAATTGGAATTGTATTCTAGCACTAATTCAGTAATGGAATAATCCATTTTGCTCAGGACTGGTATTTAGCCTATTTGCAAATTCAGTGAGACAATGCAGCCCCTGTGACCATTTTGCTTACATTTCTGACATATACTTGCAAGACTTTAAATTTAAAACTCAGGCTGCAGAGTAAATTTTTACAGCAAAAGTGTGTAAAAACTGTGACAGATGTGACATTACTGATGTGCTGAATGTCCAGTGTTCTGCATGTTCTGAATACAGATAATGAATGACACATCTACTGGGATTTGAAGAAAGGGATTTCTCTTACAAGCTTCAGGTCTGCTGCTTTTCCAGGAGTCCTTGAATGAATAGTCCTATTCGTTCTATTCCTGCTTTATTAATAATAATGTAATTATTGGGGAAAAAAAAAGTTATTTGAAGAAAGGGATTTCTCTTACAAGCTTCAGGTCTGCTGCTTTTCCAGGAGTCCTTGGACAGAAGAGCACCTGGAAAAGGGGCAGTGCTGCTACACGGATAAGATGAGCTAAAGCAGTCCATCTCCCAGATACAAAGAAGTCATTTTAAATGCCTTTGAATGCCTTTAAATATGTGTTGCATTAATGCAACACTGCTTCTTCATGTCTTTGACCTTGGAAGTCCTTTTTTCTTTGTCAGCCATAACACAAAGTTGGGAAAAACTGGATGGTAGCTTCTAGGCTAGAGAGAATGGTGACACAAGAAGCAGGAATGTGCCTATTCCAGGACTTTTCCAGATCTTTGGTCAAAATGTTGAATGTAGAATGCTCTACTTCACACCTTGAATTTGAAAGGTAGCAATCCAGTGAAGTATTTCCCAAGAAAACCAACAGGATGAAGCAAGATATGCATCTTTTTGAGCTGATATTTTTACAAGATGTACTGTACTTTCCCAAAAACAGCCAGTTGCTTTCAGATAAGTATTAAAAAGAAGTGAAAACAAAAATATGACTTCAGCTCTTTCAGGCTTACAAAAGAGACTCTTGTTCTTGTATCAGTGAGAGATATTAAGCAAAGAGCAAATTAAATTCTGAAGATAAGGCTTTGAATTTATTTAGTTGTTTTGTTCTTTTTGAAAATAAGTTAATTTTCAGTAATGTCAAATACGTTCCTACCAGCCAGGATATTTCCCTTACCAGTTTTCCCAGTTGTTTCCTGCCAGTGGTACTTTTAAACTGATGGATTGATATCTGTAGCTAGGAAGGCAGGCAGGATCTTTGAAATGGCTAATCTCATGAGACAGACTCCAAATCTTGTTTTCAACATAGCAGACCTGCATGCTACCAGCTGGTGTGAGTTACTGTTGGCAAGATTTTATGGAGAATGTAATAATTTCTCTGAAGTTACCCACCTTGCTTTCAGGAGCTTCAACACTTCCATGGGGAAATAGTACCCCAACCAGTCGTTCTATTCCTGCTTTATTAATAATAATGTAATTATTGGGGAAAAAAAAGTTATTTGCATGTTGAAGCCTGAAAATGAAATGTGTGAAGTGTTTTTGTGGCAGCAATAAAAAGGCAAAAGGCAGTGCATTAGGCAAACATTATATGTATGATAGCATGTATGTCTGTGCTAGGAGACCTCTAGAGATCTAGTCTTATCTGGAATAAGAAGTTCAGAGTTGAAAAGACCATGAGAGTCTAAAAACTGGTAAGAAGGGCTGCATATGTGACCAGAAAACTATATTTATTAATATGATCTATTTTGATATGTTAATTGGAATTACAAGATTCTTAAAAATAGTTGTGTTTACAGGGGTCAAGTTCCTGCTGAGGCAGAAGTGAACTACTTAGGTGTGGCCAAATCTCTGGAAATGTATGGAGTGGATCTCCATCCTGTTTATGTAAGTATTAACTGTGAAAAATGGTTACTGCACTAATGTGTGAAACAGTACTTATATAGTTTTGTTGCTTCAGGATAACTGAAAAGGGAACACTACTCAAGAAATGCAAAGGAACACGTATTTACAGACGGAGAGGATTCAGTTTTTGTATATACAAAAGCCTATGATTTTCAGATCAAATGCTGTGATTGTGTTATACCTATAAAAACCAATCAGTTATATTCTGGATAAAAACAATTCAGGTAGAAAAGAAGTAATTTATACAAGTGTCAGGAGACATGAGTGAGGGTTATCATCTTTGTTTTTGACAGAAGAATTTGCACATTATTTTAGTTTAAAAAAGAGCAATTGTGTCCTGAAACCTTTTCAATACCATTGCAAAAATTAGGGTGGAGTAGCAGTAGCATGTCTGGCTTTTTAAAATATTTGTTGTCAAGGTTTTGCTAAAGATCCCGAGTATGTTTCCATTTTTTCCCATGTTGTATCATGCAGCATTGCAAGTTGTCTGTATTGCCTCAGAAAACCCCTCCATTTCTTTTGTCTGTCAGCATGTATGTTGGGATTGGATCCAAGTTATCACCTGGAGGCTATGTGCTCCTGGTGAAAACATCATTCTCTCTTGTTTGAATTATTCTGCTTGTGGCAGGCATTTTTTTGAATAAAAGAAAATCAGGAGTTCAAATGGGGAGTTGTAGTATAGATAGTTCACTGAGTTAGATATCAGTACTTTGTAAAATTACTTGAAAAAAAAGAAAGAAATCAAGATAGTACCTGAAGATTAAATATGTGTTTCCTCTGGAAAATGTGTAGCCTGCAATATAAAGTAGCTTTTAATGCAACCTATGGCTTAATTATATTCATATCCCAGGCTTTGTTCCCCTCCCACCAGTGGAAAAATGGTGAGTTACTGGAACAAGATCCAACATGATCCAACAAAATCATGTTAAATTACTACAGCCTGGAATTTTTTTTGCCTCATAACTTGCCTTTGTTGTGCAATGAAATCCCTGCCTGGGTAACCTGTGAACATCATTGTTCTACTTAAATTACATCAGCAGCAGAAGCCCTCGTTTGAGACTGAAGCTGCACACACAATGAGATGCAGTTATTTTCCTCCTTGGTCACATTAAAAGTAAAGTTGCCTTTAGCAGTTAATTCACTGAGGAGCACAGGAAGAGCTTGCCAGATGTGCTTGACCTTTGCCAGCCCTGTACTCACACAGGACACTTTTTCAGTGTCTCAAATCAGTGCCTCTCACAGTTGATAATTCTGCTGCTCATGCTCCACTGGTTTAGACTTGCAAGGCTCTTCCTCATTGCCTCAAGTAGGAAGGTGAATGAGCTTTTCCAGCTGACTTTCTTTTAATCTCATGCACTAGGGTTTGCACTCTTTCAGCTGTAACCTGCTTCTGGTTTTGGTTATTGACTGTAAACTGGGGAGGTGGGGACCTTCTGCTGTAGAATATTAATCCCGATGTTTCCGGGTGTGGGGTGCCTGGCTTCGTCTAGCCCTTGCTGCTGGACCAAAGGCAGCAGCTGTGGCGTTTTACCCCAGAGATACCTTTGGCCGGCTGGATGCTGCAGCTGGGCACTCGCAACAAATCCAGGCAAAGTAGGAACTCAATTTACCTCTGGTGGAAAAGGTTCAGGCGATGGTGAAGAGAAAAGGAGCCGGTTCTATTGTAGAGTCTTAATCCAGAGTTTTATTTTAGGGTGGTAGACCTCTGAATGTGGTAACAGCTTGCAATAGGACCCTGGACCGCATGGTCTCATGCCCTTTTAAGCCCCGGGGACAGGGGGAGGGAAGGGACAGGTGAGGGCCAACCAGGTGTGAGGAGGGGAAGGCTCAAGGGATACAGACACTTGGACAGGCCAATGCACCCAGACCTGAGGGACATCTTTTGAACTTCTGCCAACCACACAACGCCCTTGCTGGAATGTTAAGATTGATGGACAGCTCTTAGGCAGGAGGGCAAAAGGGGGAGGGGGAAGGTTGGCACACCTGGGGGGGTTGGGATAGGTGAAACAGGAAATCACACTGCAACATTTTGCCACTCAGCAGCAGGGCTTTCACCCTGTTCTCACCCAGTACAGTTTGAAATTTGTATCCTGACTTCAGGAATGGTTTCCTTCAGAGGAGTTGATGCATGTGGCTGTTCCCTGCATACCATTGCCCTTTCTGAACAACAAAAACGAATCTTGACTCTCCCAAAGGAGCTACTTCACTTGGAGGCAGCAGCAGCTGACACTATTTTAGGAGGGAGAAGGCAGCTGTGTGGTTGTATTATAGGGCAGAAAATCACTATTTACTTTCAGCTGAAAGTTGGGATATCTATTGCATTCATACCTGAATAAGAAGTTCAGGTTCTGAGTTTTGGCCATTTGCCAAATAGCAAAAATTAATTCAGTAAGAAAGCAGAAAAAAAAAGGTATTTTTGTTTTTCACCATGGTGTGAAATTCCCTTATTTCCTCTCACTGCCATTCTTTCTTGCCTCTTTTCCCCCAGATCTACAAATTTTCATATAGAAGCTTTCATAACTAGATCAAGTACTATTTTTCTAGTTGTACAGAGTGAAACAGTATAATCAAGTCACCAGGATGAATTTCTCACTGGATCTCACTGATACTGTGATTCTGCTTGTAACTGTATGAATGACATAGATTTTTATTTTCTAGGGTGAAAACAAATCTGAATACTTTTTAGGATTAACACCCATAGGAGTTGTTGTCTACAAGAATAAAAAACAAGTAGGAAAGTATTTCTGGTATGTACTATTCAATTTTGCAGTCTGCACTAAAACAATAACAATGTTGTATGGATGTCTACAATTTGTAGTATCTATTTAAAAGTTTAATCATAGCAATATCAAAAAATTATACATAGAATTATTAATATTTCTTTGGATGATGCAGATTTTTAATTCTTTGATACTCCAGGTGATAGATCATCTTTACCATACTCATGCTGAAATGTTTACATATCACTAATTGTCTGCTGACATCTAGGGCATACCTGAAAAATAAATCTACCTGTGAATTTTTTTTTGTCTTTGTATACAAATGTATACAACTTTATATCTTACTACACATGAAATTAAAAGGTCATGAAGTTTGGTCTGTCTTTTTTTCTCAATATTACAGGCCTAGAATTACGAAAGTTCACTTCAAGGAAACACAGTTTGAACTTCGAGTCCTGGGAAAAGATGTAAGTTTTCATTTAGGCCCGAAAAGATCAAAAAAATAATTTTAGGTCTAATGAAGGTGGAAATTTAGTGTGTCTGTCGAAGTCTAATTGGTTTTATTGAAATTTACTGTATGAAACCAAATGTAGGTGAAGGGAACCTCACAAAGCTGTCAGGCACAAAACAGGGAGCCATCTTGTATAACTTGAAACCCATTTGTCAGAGTTTATCATCACTTTGCACTTAGACCATTTGAGAGAAAGCAATGTTGGTTCCAGTGGGGCAAGGACAGCAGGTTGATAGGAAGAGAGGAGGTTTTAGAGAGGAGGTTTTAAGATGCAGTAAGTAAAAAAAGAAAAAAAAAAAAAAAATTATCTCCTACAAAGCATGTGGAATAGGGAGAGGAGGAGACTGTTGAGAATGTAGGAAAAGATAATGACATGCAATAAAAAACATAGTTGCAATCAGTTTGTGATTTTTGCTGTCTGGTTTAGTTAAAAATTTAGTTAGACATGAAAGTTTATAGTTTCATAAGGACTGATAGTTAATAGTTTTAAATTATATTAACCTGCTGGCAAAAATCCCCTTTACTGTTTATCTATGTATTTTTGTTCATCCTTGTAATGGTTGTCAGTCTCATCCATGGTTTTTCCATGAGGACATTTGTCTTGCTCCTGTTGTGGACAGCATTTCTGGTGTCTCTGCAGATGTCTTGGCAAATCTCTCTTTTGTTACTCCCAAGTGGCTTGTTTATATTTGGTGTGGTAATCTATGGGAATTTTATTTCTGAAGGTGTGTTTGTTGAAATAGGAGAGTTATTTAAAGGCTGGCGGAAGGTTGGGAAAACTTTTCACCATGTTTCATGTAAAGGGTGAGTGATAGTTCATGTACAAACAAGTCTGAGTTTGACTTGGAGTGAATTGCTTGGAAGTGAATGAAGTTGTAGCTTCTCTTTGATGCCACATTTCCACAGTTTTCTTTTAACCATATGGAATTGCAAAGGCTTAACATGCTAAGTAGAAAAACCTGGAAGGTTTTGGAAAAGTTGAGGCTGTGAATATTGACAGCTGGTGAACTCTTACCATTGTGATCATAAGGCAAACATTTTGACAGAACTTGGTAGTTTCAAGCCTTGACAGGTATTTCTAGGAATTGTTGGGTAGAACAGTAAGTACAGGGGTGTGTACCTTCACTAAATTTGCCTTTGCAACTAATACTAATCTGAAGTATTTCTACAGCACTTCATATCCTAACAAGAGCAGGAAAGGCCAAAATGGCATAGAGAAATCTTCTTTTTCCCTTTTTTACCAGTCTGGGGGTACTTTGAACAAAATTATATATTGGAATAAGCAGACAGCAACCTCAGTCTCTGGATTAAAGTTGTCATAACAATTTATGCTGTTCTACACAGAGGAGGAAAAGCTCATCAGTGTATTCATGTATGTTCCAATACTCCAAAAAATCTGTTTCACTAATTTATTTTATTCCTCTTGTGTTTTTTTTTTAATAAATGCTATCACTTTGTCCTCCCACATGACACATGAGTATATTACAGGAGAGTAAATATCCATCCTGCCTCCTGTAATATAATTTTACAGCCCAGGGAATTAATACTTTCCTTGTATCAGATGTGGTATACTAAGTCTGGAATGTCTGTTCCAGTTAGTTGTAGAGAGCTCCACAAGAGATTAAGGAGGAATAAAAATAATGGGGGTTTTCCAATGTCTTTAAGTTGAACTATATGTCATAAAGTGAAGGAGCTAACACCATGTAACAGAGCAGATTATTTCTGGGTGAACTGAGTGTTTTTCTTTTCCATATGTTGTAAAAACTCTCTGCAGAGTGGGTTTTATCCGTGTTTCCACACACACCAGCTCCCCTTATTCACACTGACTGTCACCTTTCACTGCACATAAAGAGGAAACTGTGAGTGCCTTTAGTACCAGCAAAGCTCTTCCCCTGGATAGAGTTACTTGTGGTAACTTCTTTATTGTTGCTTGCTGAGATTGGTGTGACATTTTTGCAACCATGCCAGAAGAATCTGTGTATTTCTGACTAGGTGGGTGGAAATGGACATCTTATCTTCTTGACAGATGACAGTCTAAGTGTACAAGTCCATGCCTTCAGACTACCTAAACCTCGCTGTTGTCTGTGTGAGCCAAACCTATGGCTGTTCATTTTCTTGTTTACATTGCTTCACTTTTAATAAACTTGATGCTTACTGAGAAGAACATGCTATTGCTTAGTGTCCTACAATAAAGTAAGCTGCTTTGCCTTTTCTGTTTTGTAGTGTAACCTCTTGTACTTCTTCATATCTCTTCCATGAGAATAATTCCCGTATATTTAGCTGCCTCATATTTTTTTTCCTGCACACCTGTTGCTGTTGTTTACAAGCATGACCATCAGTACTTTGGTTCTATCTTTCACTACTTTGCTTGTATTATATATTTTCTCCCTTAGGTCATTGCTGTTGCCCCCTCATAAACAAAATATTGCCTTTCATATTTGGCCATCCATGGACATGTGAGACTGAAGCTCTTTTTCAGTGGTGTTAATAATCAGTGTTTAATTGTCCCCCTGTGTGAATCCATGCTGTGAATTCTGAGCTATAAAGGCGTTAGGTCCTCCCTGGCACCTCTAAGCATCAGCATGAAATGAGGAACCCTTCCCCTGCAAAGGCTTCACATGTTCACATTCCCTAAACATGACATAAAATGGCCAAGAATTTTTGAAGATTAAAGAAGTTTATTTCTTAGAAAACTGAGAAATTCATCTACTGTGCCTGTGCACAGTTCCTGGCAGCATGTCTGTGGAGCAACCTTACTGGAAACAATTCAGTAACACAGGTGGCTGCCAAAGCCCTCCCCTCTCCACCAGCAAAACAGAGCTTGGTCACAATGGATGCTCTGTGTGGAAGTGAGTAGTGTAAGGGGTGCCCAGCATACCTCCTGTGATTCCCCATGTGAGGAGCACAGCCTGCTTCCTAGATTTCTCTGTCAACTAGGGACATGAAAGGAAACAGAGAAAAACATGCTGTGATAGACTGTGTAGGCTGGGAATGTAAATGCGATAATAGGCAGGAGTGAGAGATGAAGAGTTTTTTTGCCTGTAGGTACCAAGTACTTTTGTGCTGTTCCCTGCACTCTGGTGCTGTTTGGTGTAACTGAGCCTTTTACTTCAGTTGCTCTGTGTCTGAACATGCACGTGAATGATTTCACTCCTTAGCAGGGTTTATGCAAAACTTCTGTTCTTACTTTTCCTGTTTCACAAAACAGAAAGAATTCAATGTGTAAAACACTGGCTTTCATCATTTTTCCTGTAAGAGAAAGGCCTTTTTGAATTCTGAAATTTTTATTTCAAGAGATCTTGGAATTTGGGTATTTTTGAGTCAAAACAATCTCTCAATCTGTGCAGTTAAAGATTATTTCCACATTTTTGTGTGTTCCTCTGCAGTCTTCCATATTCAGATGAATTCACAAGGTGAAATTGGTAATGACTCTTTAGGAACAGCACCAACCACTGATGCAAGTCCAAAGTACATAATCGTCCCCATTTTGTGTGGCTGAAACTTGTATAAACACAAATTTTTTTTTGTTATTTAAATAGTCCAGAAAACACTGTAAATATGCTTTATCTTTTTAATCTGCTTCTCATAAGTGTCATTAGTCTGAAAAATAATTATGTTAATAAGGTGGTTCAGCTGTACCCCTTCTTTTCCTATCAAATGCTGTATTCTGTCTTGAGTTACAAATTCCAGCTAGGAACTTCTAATTTGATTTATAGTTCCTGCAGCTTCTTGGGAAGATTGAACAGGATTTGAAGATATGTTACTCTCACTCTTAAGTCAAATTTATTGTATGTGTAGTTTCCAGACAAAAATAGCGGTTTGATTTTTCTTATGATTTAGGAATTGCAAATGACTTTTGCATCATTTGCATTTGCACCCACTTAGCTCAGAGTGATAATAAAGGGTGGAGGTGAACAAGCCCAGTGATATTCATATATCATATTAAATAGTTTTGGCTTGTTTTGGTTGCTTGGGGGTTTTCCTGTCTTTTCTTAATTGCTTTTTGAGCCATCATAGAAGGACTGTACGATTGGTTCAAGGCCTGCATAAAATTAAATTCACTGACACTAAGGTGATACTGTCAGCTTTCTTTCTTTCTAATTCTTCCTTAGTGTTTTTGAATTGCTGTAATTGCTGTAAAGCTGAGATATGTTTGTTTCAATGTTGACATGCAACTGGCACAGCTTTTTCAATTTTAATTGCCTACTCGGTATCATTTTCCTAAAGACTGACCTTGTGTAACAAGTAATAGTACATTGTTTGTTACATAAGCTGTGATTTGTCTGCATATGTCTATATATAAAGACAGAATACTTCCTATTGGAATTTAGAGCTGATGGTACCCAGGTATGTGCCTAAGAATAATTATTCTGGCAAAGAATAATGTTCTGAAGCAGTAGCTTCAGTGTTAATAATTCTGTTACATGAGCAGGTGTAGTATGTGTATGTGCAAGTGTGTCCTGTAACAGGGCAAGATCCCTCCTTGTGTAGCATTAGCACTCACTGTGACTGGGAGGAGTGGTGTGTGTGATGGTATGGCTCCTAATGTGGTTTTGGAATTTTCTTCTTCATTTTCTGAGCCTGCATTGTTGGGAGCCCATAAATGTCTTGTAAATTAAGGTAGCGAAAGCCTGCTCTGCATCGGTGATTCTCGAATAATTTTTGCTCTGTGGGCAGGGTCAGTTCTCCCTGCAATGGGTGTAAATCTGCTGACAATGGCCTCTTATTCTGGGAGTAATCCATGAGCTCCAAGAACAAGGGATATTCTGGCCCTCAGAGAGAAGAGCTGTCATTTTAAGCGTGTGTCTTCTCTTCCAGGTCGAGCTGAGCTTGCCCGGCTGAGGAGCTGAGCTAGGTGGGCACAAAGCATCTCTGAGCCTGAAAGCTGTGTAATCAGGCTGGCGAGACAAAGCAAGCAGGAAGCTGTTTGCCAAGCACTCCTGAACTTTTGTACTAGTTCCAGAGGTGTTCTGTGCTTAGACAGAGCAATGACCCTCTGACCTGTCTCCTTTGAAGGGTTTTGTAATACGCTTTTAATCTTCCACCTGAGAGGTGTGGGTATTAGGGTGCAGCACTGTTCCAGTTCCCAGCTCTCTAGTGGAGGCCTTAGAGGCCCTGCCAGATCAGTCTTCTGGCTGCTCGGGGAGCCAGCATAAAACAGGGAAGGGCTTCAGTGTCCATCTGTGTATAAGTCTGTAGTGTAGACAAGCTATCTGCATCCACTGCGCTAGTCTCTCTCTCCTCCTCTGGTTAAAAATGGTGGCGAGGTACTAGCAGTATGAGCTGTAGCATGTTTTGGAGACTGCAGAACAAGTTTTCAAAGCACCTTAAAGGAGAGGGATATGTAATGTTCGTCCTCACATTTTTTGACAAAGGGTGTGTGCCTTGTCAGGGCTAGGAGAAGGCAGTCCCACAGCTTGGTTATTGCTGCAAGGGTCCTTTTGCAGCCTCTGGTCCCATCCTCCTGCCCCTCTCTTGCTCCTGCAAGTCACAGATGGGATTGAAAATAACCATACAAAAATAAGTGGTTTTCTACTTGTTTGATCAGCAAAATGGGCTTCCTGAAAGAACAGACAAACACCAAAATGGTTCAAAGGAGAGAGATCTCCAGAGAGTGAAGAAGCTGGGACTGCTCTGGAAGGAGTTCATGATTTACAGTGCCTCACCTTTAGTACACTGGGCACTCTGAAAACAGCAGGATGAGTAGCCAGGAGAAGCTTGTGTTGCACCAAAGAGCACTGAATGACTTTGGAAGTGTAATTTCCTATAAATAATTAGTAAAATTACAATAGGTCTTTGTTTCTTTTGGTTCAGATATATGAGAATTATAAGCAAAACACCCAGCTAACACTAACTACCTGTAGGAAATTGCTATGTTCAAAATGCTAAAAATGTTGTCTTTTATTGGGAACAAAAGGTCATGGTCTTAACAGAAAAGGCCATCCTTGCTTTACCAATATAAAAAATTTCATTCTCTTGGGGGAGAAATGTTAATCCAGAAAGGTATTGATGATCTCAGTGCTGATAACTTTTTATATAGGCATCTATAAATTGTCAGGGTAATCACTACTCTTACAAGCCTTAAATAGTCCTAAAACAAATATGGAGGAAGTCCTAAACCTGGCTGTGCTGTAAGCAGTGTCATACTGGACTTGGTTGCAGTAAGTTACAGAATAATTCCCAGATAACTGAGAAATGGTGAAAGTATTCTGAATTGTTTCCCCTTTGATGGGGTTGAGTATTTTAGGCTTTTTTTTTTCTCTATATAGCACAATTTTGCATCTCAATAGCACAATTTAATTGTGCTATTGAGTTATAGCAAGCATCAGTTTTGAGGCCATAGTTTTCAGACATATGGTTTTCCTTCAAATTTAAATAAATAAATAAATAAGACTGCGTGTGTTATCAGAAGACTTGTTGGTCTGTCCTATGACTTTTAGGCAATTGTTTCATTTTCCAGATCTGAATTCCAGAAAGTTTTGGTAAATTGGATCTATAGGGTTATTATCCTCCTCTCACCTCCCCCCTACCAGCCCTTCTATTTTTTGCCCTCCCTGAGTGCCATTGATTGCTGAATACTAAGTTTAGATGTTTCAGCATCATCAACATTTTTCTTACCAGCTAAGGTGAACTTTCTTCTGCCTTAGAAAATAATGCCTTCATATGATGGAATCAGTAATTTTTGCTGGTCAGATCTTTCTATGAAATGGCAGTATAACTATATGGTCCCTCTTACTGTCACTTACTGATTTTAATGTGTTTTCCTGCTGTTTGTTCTGTGTATGGGAAAGTTCTAAAATTGCAACTTAAAGAAGACAAAATGGATGAATAGAGCTTTTTTCCTCAACAGTAATAGAACTTTTCCCCCAACTTTTTCCCACTGGCGTTGAATGCTAGTGGTATTCAAATTGGTCTAACAGTAAGATAAGGCAGAAACACCTTATTTTAAAAAGTCTCTTCAAAGAAAAAAAAAATCATACCTGTCTTCTCTTTGCCTCTCCCTTCCCACATACCAGAAACACCTTCCTTTGAGATTATGTAATTAAATGCATTTAAGTGCAACAGAGGATTCTTTGCCTAAAAGTAGGAGTAAACAAAGAAGGAGCAAGATCCTGCATATTAAAAGTGAGTCATTGAGTTATTTCCTAACAGAAGCTAAACTGATTCATCATATTGCATCAAGTTTGTAATACTACAATGCAGTTTGATATTATCCTTTTGAAGATGAGTTGTATGGGTTTATATGAAATCATATGAGATGACAGTCTAATATAGAAATTGTAATTTAAATCAAGTAATGAAATCCAAAGCTATTTTTCTGCTATGTGCAAAGTAAGCAAACACAAAGCACCACTTTATATGTTTTCTTTACAAGTTTTACAATGTAAAATGCATTATGATTTTTCAGTGGATAGACTCTTGTTTCTAGCCATCAGAGAAGAAAGAGCAATGTTGTTACTCTAGAAGAGTCCATGATAAATTGATTTTTCTCCTTGACTATTTTCAAGATTTTTCAGGAAGCCTTTACTTTTCATTAATTAAAGTTATTTTGTCTATAAGTTAAACCACTTGTGAATCCTGCAGAGAGATGATGATCCCTATCAAACCTGAGGAACTTTGGGAATATATTTATTGGACCTATCTATTTCTATTTTATGCATATTTATATATATATATGCTTATATTTATGTACTACAAAGTAATTTTATGATTTACACAGCAGTATCAGATGAATCCTAGGTTTCAACATTCTTGGTGGTCATTGTCTTACTGTACTGCCTGTATTATTTTCTCTTGCCATGGAGAGTAAAATGTGCTTTTGATGGAAGACCAGAGAATTATTTTAATTCCTTGCCTGTTCCATGGCACTGTTCCAACCAGACATTTAACTAAAATAAGGCATGGGAGAAAATAAGCTCATGTATAATGTTTTTTGGTTGTTTTTTTTTTTTTTGGTCAGGGAATGAAATCTCTATTATTCTAACCACAGGTGCAAAATTTTGGTTTTTTGCTGTTATTTGTTTCAAGGTGAAGGAAAAGCTACTTGAGGAGGTAATTTGTGGTTTTGTGAGGCTGCTTGACAGCTGTTAATGGGGATATAACTGGATTTTTGTTATCGGTGAAATTTTGAATTCTACAGAACATAGAGAATTAATTCACAGTTTGTAAGGTGCTTGCAGATAATAATAAACAACAATAAATCAGGAGAGGGAGAAACTTGCCTGAGCTTTTTACTTGTGTATGCATGGCACTGGGGAAGTGTAAGTAAGGCAGGGACATAGATTGTTCAAAATCAGCTGCTGAAGGTGGTGTGAATCACACCTCCTTTGTAACTCACACCTTGCTAAAACAGTTTGAGACTCAGTTTTGTTACAGGGGGTGTCATGCCATGCTGAGCACTCACACTGACATCACTGGGATTGCTCCTTCTTCGTGCAAATCACAGCTGAAACACCAAGTGCTTGAGTTCACCAAGTGAATAATAGATAGAAGGGTATTTTTTTGTGAACACATCTGAGTGTTTAGCTTGTTGAAAACCAGCACTGTGATGTGTCTGTTGCTTCTCCTTTTCTGTTGGAAGTATTTCATAGTTTGTATGTGTCCCACTTCTCTTTTCTCTGCCAGTTTCCAGAGTTTGGCTTTTAAGCTTGGTATATGCTTTTGTTCCGGCTGTTGTTGTCTTCCTTAAGAGATTTTAAGTTGGGTTCTAAGACTTTCAACTTTTTCTCAGCATTTTGAATTATTCAGAAGTTAGCTTTCTTTAAAAAAGAAACTTCTTTCCTTCTTCAGTATTCTTTTCCCCTCAGGTTTACCTTGGCCTGTTTTGTGTGTTTCCTCTGTCATTGCTTCATAATAGTTTATAACAGATCATGAGCTCCTTTCTTTCTTTCATTTATTCTTGCCTTTTTTTATACTGTTAACCAGAATATTTTTGATTGACATCTGAGCTGCCATTTTAGAAAACATCAGAAACATAATTTTTTAAAAAAAACCAACTTGTATTTTATTAGGAAAACTTGTGGGTTTTTTAGGAAAGAAGATGTGTATGAACAAAGGAACATAAGTGTTTCAATAATCTCTTTTCTCTATTTTTCAAAAAGAAAAACAATTTTAAATGAAGAATTCTACAGAATTACAGAACTTGCTTTTCTTTGTGCTGATTTCTTTTCTTGCATGGACTGACATGCAATGGCTGGTTCTTGTGTTCAGTAAATGAGATTCACTCCAATGGCAGGATCCCCCATAAGAACATTAATTTGTTTTGTTTTGTCTTTAGTGCAATGAAACTTCCTTCTTTTTTGAAGCACGTAACAAGGTCACATGCAAACATCTCTGGAAATGTTGCGTAGAGCATCATACATTTTTCAGGTGAGTGATGCAGAAGTTAGGTTGTGTTTTCCATAGGGCCACTACACTGAGTGGGAGCCTTGTTGTACCTGCAGAGTGGTGCAACAAAGGCTTGCTGCCTGGAAACGTATTTGTGCTCTTGGTTATAGAATGCTTTTAAAAGCCAAAACCTTTTCTTACAGTGATGTGAAACAATGTTTTTAAAATTTGGTAATTTGGTGGTTTCTTTTATCTTAGCACTCTTTTCTAAACAGTACTTGAGGTTGTGTAGAGTAGACTTTATCAGAAAGATGGCAGGATTTAAGTTGCCAAATAGATTTGGATGTATTTGATCATCAGATTTTCTGTAGCAGCATTGGCTTGAGGGAGGCCTTTGGAATTCAGACATTACTATTTTCTACCATGCACAGAAAAATATATATATATTTTAATAGAAATTCATTGAATTTCCATAACATTTTGCTTACTTACTGAGGTGTATAAAATCTTCTCAGTACTGCACATCTCAAAGTGCTCGCAAAAAACACCAAGAGAAATGTGCTAAGGTGCGTAACTGGGAATTGGTGGATGGAATCCTCCGGGCTGCCTTTAGCAGTGCTGTAAATGAGTGAATTGAGAATCCCTCCTGCAGTCTCACTACTGTGTCAGGGTGGATTTGCCTTCTCCCAAAATTAGGTGAAAGGCTGCTGGTGCCAGCAATTTACACTTGACTCTGAAATAAAGAGGTGTGTAGTCAAAATAGGGGGGACAAACAGGTGTCTTTGGGAGACTCTCAACCCCATAAGAATCTGTCCAGTGGTAGGGATGAAGAGGAACTTGCAGAAAAAATAATATTTTTTTGAGCCCAAATTTGTATTGTTTTTTCTTGACTTGGGAAGGAGACTATAATTCAGACCTATCTTTGCAACTTACTCTGTTATTTTATTTTTCAAACTACGCAGGGTGCCAGAGAATGAATCAAACTCTCTGTCAAGAAAAGTCAGCAAGTTTGGATCCATAGGTTATAAACATCGGTACAGGTGAATTTGTTTGATTGTTTAAAACTTCAATTCATTCCTTCTTCATTCCTTTTCTCCTCTTTCCTTCCAGTGAAAGAAAACCACCACCCAGAATATGACCCAGCAGAGTTCTGAAGATGAAAGATGAATCAGGGCCATTTTAACAGACTGTTTTTGGGAGCTTGAAAATTTTGGGACAAATGTTTCTTCTTCAGATCCCCAGAACGGGTTGAGGCTTGCTATAGTCTGTATTCAAAGTGGGAGCAGCTTTGACAATTCTCTAAATCATTATCTCCTTATAAGTCCTGATGTTTATGTCCTAAAGAGGTTTTCCTGACAGCTGGGGAATACCAAAATGAGTGTCTATCTTCTCTGACTTGAATAGGTGACAATATCGGATGAATGTTCAAGGCTCTAAACTTTGAAAGATGCTGTAACTTGAAATTAAGGATGGATAAGGAGCACTGTTTCCACTATCATGCAAGAATTAAGTGGATCATAATCATCAGTAATCATCAGTAATAGGTGATAATCATTTGTTAGGCAGATCTTTGTCATTCTGCCTTTTTCCTAATGCAGATTGAGTTATCCCACTCTCTATCATGATCTAGATTCTCCTTGCTGTGGACAACAGGGCAATGATTGTCCTGCCTTTTTTGTTTGTAGTGGATCCTGGCCTGCATTACCCCATCTGGGATAATGGGTAGGAGCTCACTGATTCCTGCCAGAGTACTGCAGATGAGTTTTTTCAGTTGGATCACTTCAGCAGATTGGAGCAGGGCACTGGTCCTGGGGAGGAGAAAGCTTTGTACTGGCAAGAACTTTTCAATCAATTAAAAAAACCATGCCATAAAGCAGTTAACTGTGTTTGAGCTATGGCTCTTGGTGGTGCAGTTCAGTTCATCTTCCTGTTTTAATAAATGTCATGGGTGATAAGTGATCAGGCATGCCATGTTGGGATGATGGTCATAACTGACAATTTTGGTTGTCTTCCCTTTTTGTCTTTGGTCCCCCACTGTATCATCAAAAGCAGTGATAGTGTTATGTGTCTGTACACATCATTAGCTCAGAGCAGAAGCCATAATCCCATTGTTTTTCTGGGTAAGTGGGGGGACCGTAATATTTTCATTTGTCTTGTGGTATTGTGTTTTTAATGTTGTTCTGTTTTGTTTGTTTGTTTGTTTTTGGTTTTCTTCTTCTTTCTTTTTTTTTTTTTGCTAAATCTTTTAGAGATGTCTCATTGTGTGTCAGACAGTTTTCAGGAAGGCAATTTTTTTGTCTTAAGATCAGATGCTTTGGAGGTGGAGGTGCTTAGTGGGGGTGGAAAGTCCTATTCCCAGATGTTTGTTAAAATTGCATCTGGAATTTGCAGTACTATCATGGTTGCCAACCTTAAAAGTTGAGCAGATGAGTTTTCTGGCTAACTTGGGAGCATGCTATAAACTAACTACATAAACAAAAAAAAATTACATCAGTACTGTGATGCAGGATTAGGATTTGAGATTTTTTTTGTCCTTCAATTCTTTTATAATTTTGAAAACATTGAAATTCTGCAGTGCTGAATATCTATGAAGGGCTACTGATGAAAATATTTCATGGAGTCTATTCACATAATTCAGAAAATCTACATAAGTAACTCCTGTATAGTTGCTTAGTACTTTCTAGTACAATCATTTTACTTCACAATGATCAAACTTCAGGTGTTAAGGAATTAATAGTGACAATTACTTCTCTTGTGTAATAAGTTTCCAGGAACAAATACAGAGTTTTGGGGAGGAATATGAATTTTAGATTTCTGTTATGACCACAATATTCTGTTTAGTCACACTGAGAAGAATATTAAAATGAGTATAAAAGAATTAATTTAAACTTAATAATTTACTTCAATGGTGCAGTGAAGGAAAACCTTACTGTAAACAAGAATCAAGACTTTTACTCAATTTGTTGTCATCTGGGGCTGTGCTAGTGAGAGTCCTTTATTACAGTTTGTTTTGCAGTCTTTCAGGTTGTCATTCCACATGCCAGAGGAGTAGCCCCTGACTGACTGGAACTGAACAATATTAAATATGTGTAAACAATATTAAACATGTTTTCCTGGGAGGAAACTTGCAGAAAAAGGTCAGGAAGAAATAATATTACTTAAGAAAGTCGTATGTTAGAATATTCTAGGTTAGAAAAGGTCATGCTATCTTAAGCAAGGTCAGGAAGAAATAGGTCAGGAAGAAATAATATTACTTAAGAAAGTCGTATGTTAGAATATTCTAGGTTAGAAAAGGTCATGCTATCTTAAGCTATTCCTAAAAAAAGCATTTTGTTTTAGTGGCATATCTCCACTTGGAAATGCCAAATATAGGAGTGGTTGGCACAATCTGTTGATCATTTTGCCAGTGACTGATTCAAAACAAAATTCAGGTTAATGCCACTCAACAGGAGAACCAGAAGTGGGATGACAAGTTAACAGCATGTTTTTTTTTCAGTCTAAGGATCCTGTTGGATAACTTTCCCAAGTGTTTTCTCATGATTTTATTGTGTTTTGAAGTGGAAAAACATCTTTGCGAATGACCAGAGACCCTTCTGTACAGCTTCCACGGCCTGACCAGAGCATTGAAAGAAGTCGCAGTAAGACTTACCCCAAAAGAGCACAACAGACAGGTAGGTCCTTCTCTACTGACCTTGGGGCAGATGTCTTCTTTTTTGGTTCATTTTGTCATCATGAGGTGACTCAGAACTGCTGCAGTGTGCTTGAGGTTCTCTCAGAATGGATTCTGTGTTTTGCTTTCAGTCAGTATTTATATCTAAGGTTAACAGGATATGAAACCTCCAGCTTTCCAGATAAAAGAAAAGAGTTGCTGTGGATTAATGAGGATAAGCCCCCATGTGTGTAGGTCTAATGTAAAGGTTGAAAGGGAAGTTTGAAAACAGGCAGTGTGAACATGTTTCTTTCCTTTAGAGACCTGTCTCTTGCAAACGAATTTTATACATTTGTCTCTTGGTTAGTAGCCCATTGTTCGGCCTGTCTGACCCAGGGTGTCACTTTTTGCACCCTCTTCCCATTTCAAGGACAGTACCCCTTTATTTTGATATTAAGTGGAACAGAAGTTAGTGCCATGAAATTTTAACATGCTTCAGATGTGTGAACTGGAAATCTGTTCTGCATGTGGAGGCTGTCATGGCAAGCTGGAAGATTTCACAGGTGTTAGAGGAGATAGGATTAAGGATCACAGAATTCATGCCCTAGATAATGGATGCTTCCTGAAATTTAGTAATAGAGATGTCAAGCTCCAGGTCTATATATGATTACATGGGTATTGCTTAGCTTCATCTATGACAAGAAGGCAGACACACTTGAGTCAAACTTGTGCCTGGAGTAAAGCGTGTGTGTGTGTGTGTTTGCTGTTTGAGAAAAAACTTGTCTGGGCTTTAAAATGTAAATAGTATCTCTCTTTTATTGTCGTTCAATATGCCACTATAGATTTTGAGAACCTATTTTTAAAAAGAGAGCAGATATATACCTCTGGAAACCTCCAGTGGTTATCCTGAATGTATTCTTTTGATTTAGTAACAGAACTGGTGCACTTTTAGAAACAAAACACTGCCTTTTAGCTGTGGTGGCTCTTGAAATGTAACATAATTAAAAGCGTAGCCTTGGAAAATAGAGGCAGTTTACAACATTTTGAAAAATTTTATTTTATTTAGTGTAAAAAGAGAGGAATTGCTTTGCTTTCTGATTCTGATATGTTTAATTGTGTGTGCAGTTTTAAGTGGATGTCTGAGAGGACAAGTAGCTAATGACCCTTGAACCTAATGACTTAAACTTTTTGTTCAGCTGGAGTGTCCTGTTCTTAGAGCAGCAGTTCAAGCCAAACAGTATTTCCTACCTCATTAGTCCCTGGTTCTGTTTCAGGAGATTTGTGTGGCTATTTGTCAGCTAAAATTCAGCTCTTGGTTTAAAATAATGTTTGCCTTAGCCCAGGCAGAGAAGGTCAGTCTGTGTTGCTGCGAGGCTGTGCATGTGTTTGTGTTTGTTCATTTTGTTTTCACTCTCTTTGGCTGGAAATATGACGAAAAACTGAAACTTTTCTGTACCCTCTTCTGCTGATGTAATTGGAATCAGAATTCTCTGGGCAACATGTGTTTGCTATTTTGATGTATTTAAACACTTTCTCCCACTTTAAAATAAAATGTCTGCTTTTTCACCATTTTACTTACATGTAGTTGTGTAATCTCTATCATCCATCTGTTTTCTTTTCAAATTCAGCTTAATTGATGTGTTCCAAATGTGCAGTCATATCATTGGGACACATGTATTAACTTAGATTATATTAATGTTAAGTTAATTTGTTTAATTTCCAGCTCAAAATATGGGCTGAGGGAAGAGAGCTATGTCTTTCAAATGCCATCTTGCCCTATGAATAAACATATTTTCTCCTTTTTTAAAAAATTTTGTCTTTGCTATTCACAGTGATAAACATTGAATACTCTTCCTCCATTTAAACAGGATTTCAGAAGAAGAATGAAGGCTAATGCTGCTTCTCCTTGCTGTGTCAGGCAACATATGATAGTCTATTGCATTAAATAAATCTGCCTCTTTTTACCTAAAGTTGTTTTTAGATGTAACATAGTCCATTTCACTCAATGAATCAAGACTATTTGGCATATTTTACCCATTGTTTACTTAAATACATTATCCCAATGTAGATTTAATTTTGTAGACTATTTTTAATCTTGCAAATTTACCTGGTGCTCTAATAAGTTTTACAGGTTATGTAAAAGTTTCCCTGACTAAAATATTTGAGAAAATTATATTACATTTCTTCTTAAAATAAATACTCCTTTTGCGTAGTGACATTATGCAGATGGTCGTCATTGATGGCTAGTCCTTTGTTCTTCATTTTCTGTTTGTAATATAGTATATTAAGGCTAAATATTACTTGTCCAACATTTTAAACAGGGTTATTTCAGTTAACATGTATTATATCATAAGGTTTTTTCAGTCAAATACACCTTTAATTAGGATCTAGCTAGATGAAGTCTTATAATTTAATTTTTTTGGGTGAAAGTCAGGTTTCCATTTACCTCCCCAAATCCAACAACAGCTCACAAATAGCTTGGATGAAATAACTTCCTTTCACCTTTTCTGAGTTCAGCATCTTTCCTCATCTGCTTCTTTCCCTTTTATCTTTTCTTAAGACTGCAAAGTGAAATGTATTAAAGGGCTTCATTTTTGCACTCACTACAATTAGCCATTTTGATTTTTTTAGTATTTTTTTAAGCTGTTGGTACCAGTGATGGGACCAGCCACAGCAGTGGCTTTGGGGACAGTTAGAACTCAGTGCATGACTGCAGCATATAATACTGGCATTGCCTCCATCAGATAAGTGTCTATGAAGTGCTAAATCCTCTAACGTCTGACATCTAAATAAAGCCCTTCCCCTCGTTGCATCTTTTTGTGTACATGTTCTGGTGTTATAAACATAGTATGTGCTTTTTATATATTTTTTCTGTCACCTGAAGGTAGAGGTTAGTTATCTCTAGCAGAGCTGAGCAATAATGTTTCTTTGTCTCATTGGTCCACTAAAGTACCCTGAAGTCCTCAAGACTGCATGCACTTGGTGAACTCTGGGTTAAGAGCTGGAGCAGGTGCCAGCCAAGACAATGATAGAAAATATTATTTCTGTTTTCAGTAAAAATATTTGTGGTTTAACATCAAGATTGAAGGAGATGATATTGTCAATAGAGAGAAACTATTTTTTGTGTATACAAGCCACTGCTGTAGATTGCTTCCCCTGATAGGATGAACAGTGCAGACCTTTTGGCTTTATCATGGCAGAATATTTTCTTAGAATACAGATTGCAGTGGTTTAAAATGTAGTAACCTCTATTTTGTCACTTGTTTGATACATTTCATATTTCAGTTGTTCTAGGGCTAGTGCAAAAATCATATCAGGAGACTTTAATGGCTATGATTTTACATTAGATCTAGACTGTGTTTTTACAGTAGCCCATAGGGGTTTTTTTGCTACATGTTTAGGCTGGTATTCAAGTTGGTGTTCATTTAAAGAGTTTTTTTGTTTTGTTCTGTCAAGTCTTGTGAGTGAGATAAGATTAACTTCATTCATTTGCTTGTTTTTCCCCTTTCATGTGAGTGAGAATTACAGTTGCATTTTGCTCTACTTGCAAATAATAAACTTAAACATGGAACAGGATCTCTCGCTGTTCTGTCTTACTGTCTTAAGGCCTGACTGATAATGTTCAGCGTTCACCACATACAGTGAAAGTGTTCATTATTCTTTTGGCTGAGTGCTGAACATGAAAAGCTCCTTGGGAACATCCTCTCAGGACAAACATTGATGTGACCAGACCTGTTGCTGTGATTCTGAGTTTATTCAGAGGTGGAAAACACGTTGCTTAGGGTTTGTTGTTGTTTGGTAGCTGAGGACTTGGTTTGTCCCTGCCTTTGCACGTGGGGTAGTTGTATAAACAAGTGTAAAATAAGTGTTTAGAAGCCAGGTGGAGAACTGGGTGTGGGTATTACAACTACAGTACTGTCAATTCCCTAAGCAATCACATTTTGCCACAGATGCCTCTCACTGCCCTACTGGTAGCTGTGGTAGAGCTGTTGGTCTGGCCAATGTTATAGTATTTTCCCAGAGAATTGTAAGATTGGATTTGAAAGTTAGATTTTTGAGAGAATGGATCTTGGGGTGATTTTAACTGTTTCCTAATTTATGTACTCAGAGCTTTGTACTTTAAAATTTACTTAAAATCCAATGTTTGGTAAAAGGATGGGTGTGACTGCTTCCGCATTTCAGTCATGGGGCGTGAGATGAACAAACTCTTGAGGCTACGGTCTTAGAAACTAATAAGAAAAACAGCCCTTATCACAGAGTAGGCTGTACTGGTGTAGACATATGAAAGTCCATTCATTTTTGTAGGCTCACAGGAGCCCAGGGTGCAATGCTCTTACTGCATGTTTTCCATTTGGTCGCACTATCTGCTGCTCTCATGACTCGGTTTAAACACAAACACTGCTTCCAGATAATGTCAGTTAAGTGGCTTTACCTGATAAGAAACAGGCAGGACAAGCTAACTAACTTGCCAGGCTGATATGGTTTTAGACACTTGAGTTTTTAAAAATGTAATAGTTGGCTTGAATTGAATGGACAAATCAGTGTCAATATAGCTGTAAAAGGGAATTAAGTGTGTGCATTCACTTCATTGGAAAAGTTCAGTGCAGTGCACTCAATCCTGAGAGTACCTTTTCCAGCCAAATGTAAACAACCAGGGAAACTGGCCACGAATGACATGTTCAAGATTTCTGTTTAAGGTATTTTTGAGAGGCCTGTTGCCTTGGCAAGCAAGAAGCACCCATATACATAAGTTTTGCAATGAAGTTAGTGTTTGGACAGTGTTTTTGGAGTCTGCTTTTTTATATTAGATAACTATATCATACAGAGATATAAGTTGGTAGAACAGTACTGTAGTCAGTAAAAGATACACCAGGTGGAACATACTCGGAGACAATCATTACAGTTTCTGTAGGCATGGACAGAAAACTCCTGATTAACCCACCATGGCCTGACACCCAGAGGTGACTGGGTGCCTGCAGAATGGTAAGGATATTACCAAACATAGCAAACAATCACTTCTGGAGGTGTCTATTACTTTTATATCATTTGACCCTTGGCTGTTTTTCTGGCAGCTGTTTCACTTCTGTGGTATGTTTTGGAGTGTAAGTTTTTATTACTCCATTAAGTGACAAGGACTTTCTGTGACTTAATTGAAAACTGCCTCACAGAAGAATATGTGAAGTATGGAGATAAATTCCTTTGTTTGAAAAAGTCATGTATTTGCTGATTTCTGCAGAAGACTGGTAAATCTAACCTGTAAGAGAACCAATTGATGAGCAGACAAAAGGCATCAGAAAATCGAAAGTATTTGTGTTGAGGTAGGGTCCAGAGACTTTGTATGCCAAAGGGGTGGTATAGGAAGTTGAAGGAGATTGTGAAGAAATCTTTTCTCTGAGGCAAAAACTTACCATGCAAAATCTTTTCACAGCTTAAATTAAGACATCACATTTTTGTTTTAGCCAGTCAAAATGGCTTGGGGTTTGTACTATTAACAACATATATTAACAACATAGTGATGCTGTTGCTTTTGTCCAGAGGACATCATATTATAATCTTCAATCTATTTAATTATCTTCAATGAACATGCTCAGAATCCTGTCCAGAGGAGGTCTACATCAATAATGTCATTTTTTTGTTGTTCTACTTGACATCTGTTTCAAGATGGGACCAATTTTGTAAGAAATGTCTGAAATTGCCAATTAGGTGGAAACACAATGTGTAAACTGAAGGGAAGTTACAGATTGATATTAACAGCATAGCACGGAAACTGAAATCATGGCACCAGCAGGAATCAAACTCTATTCTCCTCACACCTTTATTCTCATTGTTGACTGAGCAGGGAATTTCCTTGTGTTGGCAGTGGCAGAGTATCTCTTGGAGAACAACTGCTTCAGACTTCTCTGTCTTATGTGGAAGAGTAATGAATGAGCTTCATGTTAAACTTTATAGTGTCCTGGTACAACTAGAAATAAGGCTAAGACACAAAGGTGTGATCCTTACACACCTTTAACAAGATGAGCATGCACCAGATATTTTGTGTCTCATTTTATCTCTCATGCTGCCCTGTAGGTGATTATGCTGAGTAGGTGTGCAAATATTTATGCTACAGGATTCAACTATTTTGGGCTTTTTTATTTTTTTCCAGGTTCTAAGAACATGAGCCAGATCACAACAAATGGGGAAAATGAAGGAACTACCAAAATTATTGCACCTTCTCCAGTAAAAAGGTATGTAGACCCACAGTTTCCTTACAACTTTTAAGACATTGTACAATGCATTGGAAAGAGGAACATATTTAGTAATCATTACTATTAGTTTATCCTGCCCTTGAGTTCAGGACCATCTGATCATCTGCTGACAAAGGTCTGAGAGTGTTGCCAAGTATTTAATTTTATAAAACCCTTATCTTCCAATCAGTTCGGAACAGGGATTTCAGGTGACACATGGTTTGAAAACACATAAATCAGCACAAGTTAATGGGAAGGCAAACAGTCTCAGGTTTAAATAGGAAAAAAACAGGTAATGACCCAAAGTGCACTGGTCAGGGTAGTCCTGTGAAGTCCTATTAGTCTCTCCCATGGGAGCTGTGGGCTGGCTGTCCGTGCCCTCAGGTCATGGGCCTTCTGCCTCTGAACAGGGCAAGCTTGGGGTGTGTGGAAGGGAGGGGCTGGGCATGGACTCTCTTCCAGCAGGTTGGTTAATCTTGCAGTGATTGCCCATTACACTGTTCAAATTATAGTAAAAATCAGGTACAAATCACGTTTCTTCCTGATCTGTAGGAGTAGTGAATTGCCAGGGGTCCCCTGGACTTGTGTGCTCAGCCGTGTCTAATTTATCAGTGTTGAAATGCACATTTCTGGTTATTAAGCATATCTGAAAGGAAGAGGTAAGGCTCAGATTCAGAAAGGGGTTTGTATCCCCACCTCTAATTTTAGGTGGAATTTATGTGCCTGAATCAGAAAAAGAGTGATCTTACAAAAGAATGAGTCAAAAACACTCTACCTAACTTTTGTTTAATTTCCTAGATATCTGTCTCTGCATGGTTGGCAATCCTGACAGTTGGGTTTTTTTCCTGACTGAGTGACCCTTAACTGGACTTACCTATGCATTGAGGCTGTTGGCTTCACAAACTAGTTATCTGGACTGAACTCTCAAAAACGATCTAAAAGATGTACTGCAAATACTTGGTGCATAGTGTTCTCTATTGCCTAACATTTAGAACAGTTGACCTCCAAAAAAAAAGTTGAGCTAAATTCCTTTCTCATTTTGAGGGAAATTGAATCCACTATTCCAACCCTTAGAAAAAAATGCTAATTGTGTGTTTAAAAAAAGTTTATGATTGCCACTTGGTCATGCTGAAGCTAAACCATTAAGTAGAAAAGAATACAGAAGTAAAAAAATACATGAAGGGAAGGCACAAAGAGGATGGATCCAGGCTCTTTTCAGTGGTGCCCAGTGACAGGACCAGGTGGGCATACACTGAAACACAGGATATTCCCTCTGAATGTCAGGAAAAATTTTTCCCTGTGCAGATGACTGAGGACTGGCAAAGGTTGTCCATAATTGTGGTGGAGTCTCCGTCCTTGGAGATAATACCACAGCTGTCTGGAGTAGTTCTGGGCAACTGAGTCTGGGTCACCCTGCTGGAGCAGGCAGCTGGACCAGATGACATTCAGAGGACCCTGATGGCCCCACCATTGTGTTGTTCTGTGATTTGTTAGGAGAAAGAAAGATATAAAACAAAAGGTAACATTTTTCCACAGCGCAGAGGTCATTGTTTTAGGAGGCATGGGAGTCCTTTACTTCAGAATTTTTAACAATGAGCTGTTAAAAAGAAATGGATAGACAGGTTTTAGACAAAGAACCAGAATAAGTAACTCTCAATATGACAGCTTCAAGGTTACTGAGTTTAGTTTCTTACCTTGACAGATTAAAAGCAGTTCACAGGCATATTCTTACTGAGTCATGTTTCAGACAGTGTTAGTCACTTCCAGAAAAAAAAAGGTGTTGGAAATTGCTTTTCCCTTTAGGATTTGATTTGTTTTTCCCTGTGTCTCTATCTGCACATGAAAACCACCTTTTGGGTCTGCCAGGCTTTGTGTATGTAAGAGGTAGCACACAAAATTTGTGTAGCACTTACAGTTTGGAAGTTTGCTCCATCCTGTGTAATTCTTGCATTAGTTGTTAGTGATGCTTGCAGAGCATCTTTCAGTAGTGTTCACAAGCTGAGTTTTCATATTTAACATCTAATTCACTGTTGAGATCTATAGTTAATCACTTCTGTGTAAGTGGTATAAACTGAAATCATAAAAACCCTCCAATGAATCTCACTTGACATTCACATCCTAACCCTTTCACATACTTTGAATGAACTGAGTACCTTTTGCAACTGCATTCCTGGAGATACTGCTGGTATTTGAAGAGCTCCATGGTCTAGCTTCCTGTCTGTAAAGTGTGTGTCTGCTCAAAATGAATAATGACTTGGGAATTTAATGCATTAATTTCACCTCCCAGCTACATTTTCTTTCTCCTTTTAAGATTTGAAAACAGAATTCACATTTGTTTAAGTTGAGCCTAGGTAGTAGTGCACGCTGTGCAAATCAATTCCTTTTTGCAATATGGGACAGAAATGTATTTATGTGGGTTACTTGCTCAGTCTGTAGTAAACACATATTTTTGAGCCTAGGAATAGATTGCATGCATCCATGAGTCAATAATTAATGGGTGCAGTATTAAGAAAATTATTTACCTGATAAGGTGTAATTTAATTTCTTTTCCTGCTGACTTACTGTAGCTTTGCATTTTGTTCACTCTGTGAGAATTAAATGATTAACTCAGTGACCTGTAGTAACCAAAGGCTGAGGTTAAAAGTGGATTAGTGAGTTAAGTAGCCACGATTCCTTCATAAAGCTGAGTCTGTCACCTCCTGCTCTGGGGAAAGAATTCCCAGCTTGTATTCTCCTCTCTGTAAGCAACTGTAAAGCTTTTATTTTTCCTGCTTGAGTTGCACTTTATAACTATATGGTGTATTAATGACTGTACGGGGTTGCTGTCAGTAGTACTTGATGACCTTAGTGGAAATCAGTGTGGCTGCCTTGTCCTGTCTCAGGTGCACTGCAGGAAAAGAGCTCTAGAGATGGTGCTGCAGGAAAAGCTCTGCAAAGCTTTTGGACAGGGGTGTGCTTCAGCTAAGAGCCACTTGCCAGCATTTGAAGTGCAATTTTCTGGGAGCGTTAATGGGTCGGAAGCTGTAAAACCTGACACTGTGAGAATGATAGGAATAAAGGAAGAATTGAAGCATACTGCTTTTTCCCCTCATCCCCATAGGTATGGTGGGAGACTGGTTACAAATGCTGACATATCTCTCAAGCCAGGTGACTGTTATGTTAATTTGCCTTGCAGCAGTCAGTGAAGTCAGCTCTTTCACAAAAATGTCTTTCTGGCAAAAATAAAACCCAAGGCTTTACTGGGGAGGGTATGAGAAGGATATGCTACTCTGTGAACCTATGAACCTGTGATCTGTCATGCTTTGAATAGTTTTCATCACCCCTGACTTTGTTGCTCCCATTTTAAAGTATGTACTGTACACCTGGAAAAATGGTAGAGAAAGACGATAAGGATAACCTGAGGTATGTGGTGACTCCTGTACTGGGAGAGATTAAATAGTCTGTGGTTCTTTCACTTGGAAAAGGGATTAGACAGTTAAAAATGTGTAAAAAAAAAGTAAGGGGTGGAGTTTTTGATTTAGGGAGCCATCGTTCATAGCTGTTTGTTTTTCTTTATTTCTTTTTATAATCACAGAAACAGTCAGGAACAAGGGATTGAAGTTTTGAACCAGATGGAAGTTTTGAGATAACATTAAATAATTGTTTATGTCATAGCCAGATATTGGAATATTCTCCTACTAGGCACTATTTATGACAAAAATCAAAAGATGTTCTAAAGGTATTTAAGTAAACCCATGGAAAAAAGTTTCATTTAGAGCTTTGTAAAATAAAAAGGAGGTAAAGGCTCTGATTCGATAGTCTTTTAAATGCATATTATGGAAGACTATGAGATCATGCTGTATGTTTGCCCTACTGTTAGACTTCTTGCTTAAGTATCTGCTCAGGTTTATTTGGAGACAGCATTACCTGTTTTTCTGACTCAGTGCTGCCACAATTATGAGGTTGCAGAGATTATTTTTTTCTCTCTTTCTTTTCTTTTTTTTTTCTTCTTCTTCTTTCTCCTTCTCCTTATGTTTGCTCTTTATGGGAGAGATTTTTCAACATAGGAGCTCTTTGCCCTCTTTCACATGACAAATAAGTAACTGTATGCCAGGGTTAATCTCTCTAATAACTGTATGTCTTAAAATTAAATTTTAAGTGGTCAGCATAAAAGAAAATGTGATCTGTGTACAATGTTTTGAGGTTTTTTTTAATATATATACATGTGTATTTGTTTGTACTCTTATTTAGCTTTAAAAAGATGAAAAATGAAAACAGTCCAGAAACACAAAGAAGTAAAACAAGCGCTCCATGGGAGGAAAATGGCCCACAAAGGTAAGGCAAGACTTGATGTCTTAGGTATTGTGCAATAATAAATATCATACCACAGCAGAAGGTCAAAGGTTATTAATACAATATATTAATGTGTTATTTGATTCACAATAGATATGTATTGCACGTAAGCAGATAGGTTCTTTCATGGATAAATAAATAGTTAAAAATTAAGAAAGTATGTGTAAAACGAGGTAGCCAGTGATTGAATGTCAGCAGTGGCTTTTTACAGAGATCTGTTCATAGACCTCTGATATTTAGAATATTTGCCAAAGAATTTGAAAAAGGGGTAATAAAGTTTGGTGATGATACAAAATTGTTTAGGATAGTGAGAAATTTGTCTGTTAAGAGTGGCAGAAAGACTCCTAATGTGACAGATGGGTATATTCTGTTGAGTCAAAAAATGTAAAGAGAGGTACATAAGGACAAAAAAAAATAACCCTAGATTTCTGGTTAATATGATGTGCTATGAAATTATGATGGATAACACAGAAAACATCAGCTGTGTAGCAATCAGAAAAACAATTAGCAATTATTAGTGAAGCAAGAGGACAGAATTATGCCATTATATAAATTAGTGGATCACATTTTGGAAGCACTTCTGATGTTCTTGTCTCAGGAAAAGGCATAGGCTTTGAGATGAGCAGCAAAGGTGATCAAAAATGTGAAAGGCTCTGCAGTAAATCTGTACAAGGAGAAAGGGCAGAGGCAGAACGGAATCTTCCTTCAGAATGTAAAAGAGGGAATATCAGGGGATGACGTATAGAAAATCAAAAGTCATATTGAGAAAAGAGGAAATGACCAGGACTCTATTTTTCCAGTAAAAGAACTAAGGATCTTCAGGTGAAGCTATTGAAAGTGGTTTAAAAGGCAGTCAGTAGTGACTCACCATGAGTGGGAGACCTGTGGTCCTCCTTTGCAAGGAGGTGAATTCCTGAGGGAAGCTGGGTGAGTCATGGAACAAAAATCCTGAAGGGCTTGTGAAGACGGAGGGTGCAGCAGCTGGCTCAGTAGGTCCTCTGGAGTGGGAATGGTGTGGGACTCAGGGAGCACTGGGGAGCTGCCTTCAGGGTTTTGCTTCTTGTAGCTGGCTATTAACAGCTGCTGTTGGAAACAGGCTACTGAACCAGACAGCATGTAAAGTGTAATCCAGAATGGTCTTACCTTTCTGTGACAATTCAGATCTATATCTGGTGTGTCATTTGGGGTACCCTGATGATTTACCCCTTGTACTCCTTCTGTAAACAGCGGTAGTTTCTAGAGCAGGAACAAAGCAGCGAGCAAATATTCTTTTGCTACACTCCTTCCTTTGGTTATATTTAGGAAAGTGGTGTCATCTTGTCACTTTGTCTCCAGTGTTTCAGTTGCTCTCAGGACAGCAGGAGGTTTGATCTTGCAGAAAGCAAACAATGGTAGGATTGAGTTTTTGCAAAACGATTATTTCTAAAGCATTATGCAGGTTTAGACACATAAGCAGGCTGGATGTTGCACAGAGGCTTTCACAGCTCTTAATAATTCTCATTGAGATGAGCTGTGGGAACTTTTCACCTGTGCAGAGCAGTGCTGTAATCAGCTGTGTGCAGAGGTAGATGAATAAGAATGGATTCAATTTGAAGGCCAGAGGCTTTAAGGAAAACAGAAAGAAAGCTGGAGCTTGGAACACCTCCATACCATTGGCAGAGGTTTGCGTGGATGAACAGAAGAGAAATGGAGATAGAATTGTTTCCTGTTCCCAAGCATCAGCTCTGTGATGAAGACAAATGTCATGACAAAACATGGGAAGTGTTCATACTTACATCCATGGAAAACATGAAGGATACCTAGCTCTGGGTTGGATATGCCATACTAAAGCACAGAAATTTTATTATGGTAAAAGAATATTAATAAGGTAAAATCTATTCTTTGTAAGCTTAGAGTTGTTGACCTGGCAATGCTAAGAGGCCTCTCTCTCCTACATTTCAAGGTTCAGTGTGAAAAATTTATTGCTAGAAAGCAGTGCTATCTGCATTTACATAGAACACCCACTAACACCCAGAGAAGCACACATAGCCGAATGCTCACCTGTACGTGAGTGTGTGCGTGCGTGCATGGATCTGTTCATTTTTGTGAGCTGAATCTCAGCTGGCCTAGCTGCCCTGGAATTTTTAAAGCTGACTCTTTGCTCTTCCTTTTTAACCTCAGTGGACTCTATAACTCTGCCAGTGACCGCAATAAATCACCAAAGTTTCCTTACTCTCGCCGAAGGAACCCATCTGGTGGAAGTGAAAATGAGTCTGGGCAGCCAGTTCGGAGGAGGTAAGAGCCTCAGGATTAACTACTGCCAGCTTTTCTGTGTAGAAACTGGAGGTCCTGCATGCTCAGTGCTCAGCTTGTGTGGCATAGCTGGGTCCTGGGAAAGGGGTTATTCCAGGGGGCAGTAAAAAAACACACCTGCTTTTTAAAAAAAATTTTGAAAAAACACCTGAGCAAGAATGCCACAGCTGTTTTTGGAAAGGAAGCTTTGGTCAGGTTGCTTGCTTGTGTGCTGTTGTGGGAAATGATGTTAAAAGTGTAATAAGCTGCATTATTGGCATGGCAAGATTCCTTTAGTTACTGGAGCTCTTTTTGCATGGTGAATGGAAGCCCTGATGGATTTGCTTTCTTGCTTTGAGCTTCCAAAGTGGTGTTATAAGTACATTTCCTAATTTTAACTGCCCCAAGGATTACACAAATGAGCCATAAAGCTGTCTTCAATAGTCCCATATAAGAACCACTTTGCATTAGAAAGGATGCTAGCAAAAGTACAACTAGTGACAATTTCAATTGGTACAAACTGAATGGAATGACTTAGAGGAGTAAAATAGAATGGGTGGAGATTCTGTGCAGTGTGTCCTTTAGCATGTCTAAAAAGCAAATTACAGGGACAATTCTGAAGCAATAGAGTATTGAGAAAATTGTTTGTTACCTGGGATGATTTGTCCTGCTGAGAAGCTGTTTTCATCACTGGGGCACCATGCCTGGTGCTGTGATCTGTTATGAAGTATAAACAAACACAGATACTGTGCCATATTCATTGCAGTCTTCTAGAACTGCCTCAGGAGCCAGCACTTGAGAGTTACATCTCTTTCTGACAGCTCTGAAATGAATACCTGTTTGGCCTTCAAAGCCAGAGCTGGCAAAGGCGTCTCTGACAATGCAGCTATATTGATGAGGAAATCCAATTTCATGTGGAGCTTTTATCCTTGTCAGGTTTCTGAACTGTTTCAGACCTTTTATCTGCCATTAGCTGTCTGGGACAGGAGAGAAGAAACTCACCCATAGTGCATGCTTAGTGACCTCAAATAAATCAGTGTAACTCTCAGGCAATGGAGTTATGTTTATTTGCTCTGTTGGATAGAGCCCTTGTAGGTGCTAACAGCAATGTGTTTCCTGAATGGGTTTTGTCATGTTTTAACCTCAGCCAAGTCCCCTCACTCACTCCCCTGCCAGCAGGGAGAGAATCAGAAGGGTAGGAGATAGAAACCTTGTGAGTTGAGAAACACAGCAAAAGCCACACACCTGGGCAAAGCAAACCAAGGAATGAATTCCCTGCTTCCCATTGTTGAGCAGATGTTCAGCCATTTCCAGCAGAGCACAGCCCATCACACTAAGGGTTACTTGGGAGGACAAACACCATCAGTCCAAACATCCCCTCCTTCCTCCTCCTTTCCTCACTTCATACACTGAGCCTGATGTCACAAGGTCTGGAATATCCCTTTGGTCAGTTTGGGGTCACCTGTCCTGGCTGTGTCCCCTCCCAGCCACCCACACACCCCCAGCCTCCTCCCCAGTGTGGCCTTGGCTCTGTGCAGTCCTTGCTCAGCAATAACAAAAGCATTTCTATGTTGTCAACCCTGTGTTCAGCACAACCCCAAACTACAGCCCCATGCCTGCCACTGTGAAGGAAACTAACTCCACTGCAGACAAAACCAGCACAGTTCTTCTGGTGCATTGCTAGCTTAGTTGTCAGAAGGGCTCTTTTGGCTTTGTAAAAACAAAAGAGTAGAGATGTGCAATGCAAAGATCTCTCATATCAAGAAAAGTGTTTGTGCACTGTGCAGCAGGAAATTGTTTTATCATCTGGGATTTGCATTGGGCTGATCTAGTCAGTGGACAGTCATGCCAATAGCAAATTTTCTCTTGAGCTACCACATGAACTGTGGTTTTTAAATGTTTTTAAAGTCTTATCTCATATGTGAGACTGTGAAGACTGACAACAGTAGGTAGATTTTAACTTAATTATGCCTTCCTGAGTCTTGGTTTTATTCATGCACTTTCTTTTTCCAACTGTTAATAACAATAGCTCTGCTGTTTATCCACCCTTCACTGGAATTAAGAGGAAACCACCACACTCTGCTATGCTGGAAACAGTAGGAAACTCTAAGAGCAACATGCTCTGCTAAATTTTGCAAGTCAAGGGTTTGTGATGAGACCTTGAATGGAATCATGCCTTCAAAGCTTATTGTAAAGGTGTTCTGAAGGGTTTAAAACAAGCACATGCCCTATTTTCTCTGCCTGACATCATACTGGCAAAAAAAAATCCATCAAAAAACTAAAACTAAAACACTGGGTTTTTTATGGGTAGTTCTGTGTATTTGTATTAAGTAACTCTATGACACTTCATTAAAACTTCCTTAATGTCACAGGAAAAATCAAAACAGTGGTGAAGATTCAGATTTAAAGCAAAGGAGAAGGTAAATATATGATCTATAGCACCTTTGAAATTATACTGAAGGTACTGGTCATATTTTTGTTCACTGCATTCCCTTCTTTCATTCTTCTCCCTCATCTTCCTAAATGTCTAAAAGGTTTGTTGTGTTATGACCTTTTTATTTTTTATTTCTTATCTTTTGCTAAAATGCTCTGTGGTGTAGCCTCATCACAGCAGAGTCTTGCAGTACATGGTTACTACTCCATGTCAGAAGCAGCTTGTGAAAGTTTCCTAAGGGCTTATCTGCAACTTGAAAGTAATTTCCAGAATTCTAGCTTTTGGATTTTGAATCTGCAGATTTGTTTTTACCTCTCCAGCCTCCCTACCCGCTTTTAATTAATCTGTTTTGCAAACAATTGTGCTGTCATCTGAGATGAATTGTCCTGCCAGAGGTAAGTGCAAAGGCATATGTAACTCCTGATGGTCCTCTTGCTGTCTTCTACATTTTTTGTCGATTTTTTTTAAGCTTCTTCTCCCTGCCCCCATCTCCCATTTCAGACTTCACTAGTTATCACATTTCAAATAAAATGCAGGTGTGAATTTGGGTGTGACCTTCAACAACCTCAGATTTTTGCCACATCTGCTTGTCATGACTCTGTTTAGTGCTCCTCCTTGCTCCTGTGCTCCTGCTTGCACTGCTGGAATAAAGAGACAGTGGAGTACATTTCAATGTCAGAGGCTTCTGGAGCTTGGGAAGGCGAGGAGGCACTCCCAGGATCTGAATCACTGCAACAGCATGGGAAATGAGCTCTGGCAGAGATACAAACATCTCGGGACAATCACGGGAAGCCAGAGAAAGTGCTCATGTACTTTGTACTTTCTATGAGATAACAGAATGTTTTTTGGAAGGATGTTAACATTACAAGCTGTAAGTGGTAATCTTGTGATAGATGTCCAGCACATAAAACTGGGAAGATTTAGTTAAGCATCTCAGGTGGAAAGCCTCAGGGCTCAGAAGGGACCTCTTACCACATGTTTGTTATTGTACATTGCAAAAGACCTTCTCTACTTCCTCTCAATTTGGCTATTCTCCTCTCATTTTTACCAGAAAAAGACTGTGCCAGAATGTGAGCTTTCCTCAGCCCTCCAAGCCCCCTCCTAGGCACTATTGGTTGTGTCTCTTGTAAAACTGACTATGACCTCTTTCTGGCTCCTTATGCCACAGTATATATGTATTCTACCTGCAAAATATCAAATGTATTGCATGACAAGGAAAACAGGGGAATGCAGGACAAAAGGTACCTTAAAATTGTCAGAGATAGGGATGGTCTCATGTATTCTTGCACCTGATATGGGAAACTATATTTTTTTCTACCCATTTTTGGTACTTTATTCATTTTAATAAAAGATGATAGTTAATATTCAGTGAAAGATAATATTCTGACAAGCAAGCATGAGCAGCTGCCACTCAGCTGACAGCTCAGGAGTCCTTCTGTCTCCCCACAAATGCTTTCCTGACAAGAAACACAAGGTAATTCAATGGGCAATATCTAAAAGGTGAATCAGATTTTCATTCCTGAAAAGTTAGAGAAAGGCTCATCTTGAGTTTGATCAATTTGGATGTTTTATCTTATACTTTGCCTGCCATGCTGTGATTTTTGGCTGTTTTTTTACCTTATGATATAAATTACTTAAATCACATGAAAAAACTTCTTGTCATACTGAAAAATGTAGAAGAGTCATGTTAATGACCTGGAAGTGTGAAAGAACAGTGTTGCTCAAACAACTTATTGATGTTGATGTTAGTGGTATATTTATTAAACATCTGATAAGACTGGGCTGGGGAAAGGTATCTTTTTGGCTGTGTAAAGTCTCCTGCAATTCTAGAGCATTTTTATTGCTCTTCACTCTTCCATTGTGCTTGAGTGACTCTTTTTGACATCATCTTTTAATCTTCCTTCTTCCTTTGGGGTTACAATTTTCTGTATTAACACATATATTTTTTATTCCCACTTTGAGCTTCACCCAGAAAAGTATATTTTTAGCTGGCAGCATGGATAACCTGGCTTTCAATTATGAATATGAAGTTTGGGGATGACAATGTCACTGAAACTGTGGGAAAAACAAAAAACCCTCCAACAAAATTTTTAGTATTAGAGAATCAAGGCATTACTTTAATCTGGGTAGGATGTTGTTCTGACCAGGATCTCAACAGAACAACAGAAATAATTTCATCCTCACATAGCCTCAGTGTGCAGAGGAAATAATTCCATTACACATATATTTTACCAGACTTTTCACTAACTTTATACAGTCAAAACCCATAGAGATTCATTGGTTCAATGTTCATTGGTTTCAAGTTATGTAGTTCCCACTATTTGGTTTTCTATTGCATATGAATTTGTTTGCCTCCAATGCTAATTTGGTCCTTGTTCCTATCTTTCCTTTCCCAGACCAGGTGTCTCTGACCATGCCAGGGTTGATATTTAGAGTTGATGATCATTAATGGTTGTTGATGGTCGTTATCTTTTGTGTTTCTTCTGTGCTACTCCCAGTCTGTTAAGATGTTAAGTTCATCAGGCCTTGCCTAGTGGAACAATGCCCTGAAAAAAACTTCAATTCCTTCCTCCAGGGCAAAGGTGAACAAACTTGACTAAAGCTATAAAATGGGGAAAAAAAATTAAACTTGGTGTCTTTTCCAACAGGGAGAAGCTCCTTCTCTGGGGGAAATTTCACTTTACCAAATTTATTTCCTTCAGGCAAGCTGGGTTGAACTGATTTTCCTAGACTTTAGCTGTCATATTATTCTAAGACATTTCTGTTTGAATGGGAGCTATTTGAGATAATGATTTCCTAATTTGGAAGAGAAGGGAGAACAGATGCCATAGACCAGGGGATTTAAAGGCTCAGCAATTTGTTGGAGGCAACTATAATTCACTGGTATTATGGAGAATTTAATGAGGCTCTCAGGTGTGTCTGAGTGACATAGTCCTCTAGAGAGCAGAATGATGTGTGCCTGAGCAGATAGAACAGCTCCATGCTGCATCTGTGCTGTTCCCTGGGAACAATCTTCTCTCATCCTGCTTGGGCTCTTCTTCCTAAACCATTAGAACATGCACTGAGCAGGTGCTAGTCAGGCACTTCCTACCTTGTCATTGAATGCTTCCCCTTACCTGTTACTCACACCTAAGAACTGCTTTGTCTCCTTGGCTTGTTTGAGGTGTAGTTTAACAAATCTGCCCTCTTACAAATGTCAACTAAGAGTGAAAGAAAACCCAGGAGGCATAAGAAAATATACATCTCTACCAGCATCATCAGGAGTTATCCCCTTATAGCTCCTATTTCATGGCCAGAGACCTCAGAAGAAAGATTCTGTTTTCCATTGAAGCAAAACCATCACTGATTCCAACTCAGCCTAAATCCTTGTAGACCAGCTCCTGTTAACATCAGCCAGCTTTCCTCATTAATCAGCTGGGCTGTCAGTATAGCAGAGAAACATGTCTGTCTTTGGAATCAAATGTTCAGGGTGGGAAGGACCTTTTCCAGATCATCAAATCCAACCATTCCCATGCCATCCTCACACTAAAGAGCAAATAGTCCAAACCAGACTGTGATGAGAGTGCCAGCTTTAGCCAGTGGTAGAGTGGCAGAGTCCTGGATTCTAGGACCAAAGCCCTGACATCTGGTCTGTGTGCTCCAAAATGCAGTCACAGATTTAAGGGTCTCAGGTAGTAGAGAGGAGTTTACCTGTAGGTAGTGCAGCCTTCTTTTTTCCATAAAGAGCAGCAGAATCCTAGTGCTAGTGCTCTTCAGTGCTGGTGCTGGTGTTTCTTCAATGCTGCCTAACACTCCCTTCAGACAAGCTGGGTTGAACTGATTTTCTTGATTTTAGCTGTCCTGTTCTTCTAACACATTTTTGTTTGAGTGGGAGACATTTGAACTAATGATTTTCTGATTTAGCGTAGAGAGGAGAACAGACTCCACAGACTCCAAGACTAAGGACTTAAGAACTTACACATTTGAAGGGAATAGAATATATAGACCTGTGAGCATTTTGTTTTGCCTGCAAACACAGAATTCTGGGTCATTTCTGCTGGGTGTACCAGAATCTGCAAGAAGAAAAGAGCCATACAGATTAGAGATGCAACATTTCACACCTCCAAGAAACAAATTGATGTGGCATTCACAACAAAAATGCTGAACAATAAAATAATAAAAATTTTAAAAAATAAATGAAACAGTGAAATTATTCAAAATGAAAACAGCACTCACCTGATACTACAGTCTAGGTGCACTACTTTTGGAGCAGTTCTTCCCAATCAGTTAATAAGAAAAAGATAATATGACTTGCAGGTGTAGAAAAGCACTCCAGAGTCTTTTAATTCTGGTTTTCTGAGTAATGTTTTTACAGTGTTGTTCTTTCCTCATTTAGCACTGCAATAATTTTGGTGTTAGTAGATAAATTCATCCTGAGATGTTGCTTTTCTCTTCTCCAGGTCGCGGTCCCGTTGTAACACCAGCAGTGGCAGTGAATCCGAAAATTCCAACAGAGAGCATCGGAAGAAGAGAAACAGGTGACAATATATTAAATATTTTACACAGGAATACATGAAGAATTTCATGTCTTTAGGAAGACATTAAACACACAAATGGAGATGGACTTTTCTCAGATAAACATAGTAAAAATGGATTTAACGTATTTTATGTGAATAGAGTCCTCCTGAGGCAGCTGAAGAACCTTTTCTGAAAAAGAAGAGTGATAATTGCCAGAATACATCATTATGCAATGAATGCCTGCTCTCCTGTTCCTTTGGAAGAGCTCAGTAATGAACCACAAGATCAAGTACAGGGCACGCTTACAAAAGACTTGTGGTATAAATGCAAATAAAGTGGATAATATCTTGATAATGATATTCTCAGCATATACTTTTACCTCACAAATTCAAGTGCAGATTTTTTCAAGCAGAAAATTGCTGTTGAGAAGTAAAAATATTTTTAGTGATATGAATCTCAATGTTGTTTTTAAATTCATGTATTTAATTGTGCAAAGATTTTGTTTTCCGAAATGTCAGGTGTGGGTCCAAACCTAAAATGTGTACCGCATCAAGTTTTAATAGGACAGCAATAGTTCATATCAAGTGATGCTAACAAGTCCTGTATTATATATTCTATTTCTCTTCTTGCTGGTATGAAAAAGAGGACATAACTATTGATTTCCTATAAATTCCCTTCAAAGCTGTGTATTTTATGTTGCACTGGAGATCACAATATCCTGGAGGTATTTCTGAAAATATACTTTTTAAAAGCACATAGAATTTCCTCATATTGCATAAACACAGTGCAAGAGAAATGTAACTAGACAAAAGAGGAGCTGTTTTAAGGCGAAGTTTCCAAGTTACTGTCTGCGTGAGCTGCCATCATTTCTTCATGTCTTATATTCAGTGATAAATGATTTCCACATCTCTGGAAGGTCTGAGAAATAATTGCATGCTATATAGTGCAGCAGGAGTATGCAGTATAATTACATTTTCAGCATGACTTGCAGTAGTTAAAGAAATATTAAAAACCATTGTGACACTCACATGGGATGGCATAAAGCACATCTGAGACACGAGATTTCTTTGAAGCTTGCCTAAATCAGAGCACAGTCTTGTAGGGTACTAGGCTAACAATAACCTAGTGTGCCTGGAAGGTTTGTTTTCCAGCTGAAGTTTAAATGACATGCTGAATATAGTTTCAGTGATCAGCAGTAAATGGTATTTTGTATCCCTTTCTCCCAGAACACTCTTGCCAGGTTTTTTTTCTCTTGTGAAACTCCTTCTGCAGGGAGCTCCACAAGCAAGTGAAAGAAATTAGAGACTGACCACAAGAATGTTTTTAAGAACTCCTGGAAATATAAAGACTGAATTTTAAGAAGGATTAAGTACTGCTTATCATTTTTTGAAGAATGAAAGGGCTTTTACCCACACTTCCTCACTTAATGGAAAAAAGAATTAAAATAAAAAGAATAAAAGATCAATTTTTTTGCTTGTTTCTAAGTTTTTCATGTTTTCAGAAATGGAAGATACAACAAAAATGTTAATGTTTGAGCATCTGTTGTTCTTAGGTGATCACTTGAAATCTGACCAGAAAAAAGATCATTATCAGTGTTAGATTAAACAAGTACTAAATGAGCTGGAAGTCTAAGACTTGTTCCTTGTGGGCAGGTGCAGGAAAACAACCAGTCATAATGAATTTCTGCATTTTGTTAGCAGCCATAGCAGGAACATAACAAGCTGGAAGGTCAGAGGCTCTGAGCAGCTTTCCTGTTTTCAGAGATGAGCCAGCACTAGCAGGGTTAAATAGGACATTATAATGAGGCTTGCAACTGCTGTTACCCAAATTTCTGCTGTTGCATAGACTAATACAATTTATTTCCCAGTACAGTAATCAGGTCCCTGACACAACCAGAAACAAAAGTGGTTTGTTTTGTTGAAAAAAAATAGTGAATATTCACATTAACAAAAGAAGTTTGCTTCTGATCACATTAGAGTAGAATATATTGTTCACATGACAAGAGATCACTGTGAACTATTTGCCAGAAGAAAACAAATTATCAGAGAAAACCAGAAACATAGAGCTTCTGAAGGTAGAAAACTAGAAAAATCTTGGGGAAGATCTTTTTACCTGATCTCAATCTTTGAGGTTTCACTCCATTATATAAATGTTTTCTCCTAAGCAGATGTTCATATGAAAGTGAAGAAGAACCTGTGATGAGCATATTCCAATCACAGAAGAAATGCATTTGCATTTTCAATGCTGTGGTCAAAATTTATTGTGTAGATAAAAATAGATTAAAGGAACAGGCAGTACATACTGAAGCATACTTTCCTTCCTGGCTACACTTAGAAGATGTATCTGATAGATTTAGAGGGTGACTGAATGGTTGAGGCTGGCAGGGACCTCTGGCTGTCATCTGGTCCAACCACTGCTCCAGCAGGGCCACCAAGAGCTGGTAGTTCAGTACCATTCCCATGCAGCTTTTCAGTACCTCCAAGGATGGAGATGCCACCACCTCTCTGGGCAACCTGTGCCAGTGAAAACTTTGAAAGGAAAACTGTAATGGACTTTTAGGGCAAGGGCAACAGTTTTTATTCAAAAATATCTTTAAATAGAAAATTAGGATTTGAGTTAAATTTCTTTCAGCATTTTTTTGGTCATTTCTGTCACCAAAACCCTAAAAAAATTGCCCCAAAATGATTAGAATTTGAACATTGCATTCAAATAATGTATCTAATATAGAGATTGTGGTACCTTGGTCATCTTTTACCTTGTTAAATGTGGGCATACTACCTTTCTTTGCAACTGCAAAATGCATGTTCTTCATGTCTCCATCTAGTAGAGTTTTGCTGTGGTGCAACAGTACTTTGAGTTTGCTAACATCACTTGTTTTAATAGCTGCAATGCTAACTTTATATATTTAGATTTTCAGTATTTTTGTGCAAGTGGCTGCCGTGTGTGGGAGGCAGTTGGTGGTGTCTCTACCATATGGGATGATTGCTGTTTGCACAAATTGGATTATTTGGGATGAAAATCACAACTCATTACTTGCTGTGTGAGTCTTTCTACTAAATCCTTAGATAGAAGTTTATGTTAATACCTGTCAGCAGATTACAGATTTAAAAAGATTTGCTTAGAAATCAAAACCTGAGGTTGCAGTCTTCTCCAGATGCTTCATACCATTTGGTAGAGTTGTGTCTGTTTACAGTAGCTGGGGATTGAGCTCAAAATTCATTATGCATGTAAGAGAAGATCTGATTAAAGGAAAAGCAGAAGCCTGTGTAGCTGGTTTAGCCTGATACAATTCAAAACTCAAAGAGAAAAGTACATCTGAAGTGAAGAGCAACAACAACATACTTTGCATTGCCTACATCTCCAGTGTAATCCCTTTATCTCTGTGGGCTTCTTTATTTGTTGTACCTGTCAGTCTTCCTCCCTGGTTTCTCCAGTATCCCAGCCATACCATCCGATCAGACAATCTACACTTGGGAGATGTTTTCCAGGGATATTTTGAAATCCCTGCTGAATTTTAAATTCACTGCTGTGACAAACATATCCATTTGCTCCACTACCTTAGCACTTCATCTCAGCAGTCATATGTGCAACCTCAAAACTGTGGGAAGCATCTGCCTGGAGGACTGTGGCATTGTGGAATTACTGCAGCCTGCTGACAAATGTGCTGAGTTGACAGGATTTTGATATTTGGCTCAATCTGTAATGCATTCCATCAATTAATTAATGGATTAAAAAAAAAAACTGAAAAAAAGAAGGAATAAAAGGCATAGCACGTCATTTAGATCCACACAAGCCATGACAGGGACCAAACCCTCAGGGGATGGTGTGGAAGGAGAGCCATGGAGATCCGCATGCATCCTGAGCTTTGTTGCAGGTCAGGATGAAAGGATGATTCTTCTGAGTGGGGACTCACTGAGTGGATTTTTCCCTGGATCCTCGGAAGTTGCATGCTGCAATAAAGTGATTCTGAAAGCTGTAGTAGAAAAACCTTGTAGCATGATGTGGGTCTTCTCCCATTTGGTACAGATGAGGTAGAGTGGAATATGTAAACAGGGAAAAAATTCCAGATGTGCGGCCTGGACTGGGAAGAAGAATGCAAGTTGTGGGTCTGTCCTTAAAGGCATGGATTATTACGTTTTTGGCTCATGCTGTTTCTAAATAACAAATCAGCAGGTTTTCTTTTATATAGTTCTTACGCTAATGCAGTTTGGGAGTATTAGTTAAAATTTAGCGAGATTAAAGGTTAAGTACAGCATTGCAGGAGCAGATTTTCTGGGGGGTGGGGGTAGAAATACCCCATTGCTTCTCAGAGCATCCTGCCCTTAGGGCCCTCAGACTAAGCTCTTGGTACCTCTTTTGCAGATTGCGGCAGGAGAATGATATGGTTGACTCGGCTCCTCAGTGGGAAGCTGTGCTGCGGCGGCAGAAGGGGAAAACCCAGGCAGATCCAAACTACCGGCGATCCAGGCACAGATCTCGATCGTATGTAACCCTTGAACCCTTTGATGTGTAAATTAAGGCTCTTGAATCGTGTTAAAGAGCAGGAGGAATATCTCCAGTGTGGCGGTGGCCCTCAGCTGCTGAGGAGCAGAGATTTTCACCTGGCATATTCCCACATTAGCAGATTTGTCTTTGTGGTCAAATTGCTTTTGTTTAGTGATTTGAATTTTAGGGCACAAATAAGGAAGAGAGGGCTTTGTAACAAAGATTCTGAGAAACTCTGTCCATCACCTGGGAAGAAGTCCGGGCTGGTTCTGTGGCTCATTGAACATCAGTTCTGTAATGAGTACAGTGATTCCTCTTTTCTGGGCAGCACGTCTGTGGAGGCATTGAGATTTTACTTGACAGCTGCAAACATTTTAATGGAATAGATGCACACCTGTTTAATCATATAATATCTGCAGTGGTGTTCCAGATGAAAGCAGCTGCTCATGTTTCCATGTCAAATTATCCCTGACAAGCAGCAGTCAGTGATATATTGCATCTCAATGTCAGGATTCCATGATGGAGCTGTACTGCCAGGCGCTGCTGTTCCTGCTTACAGCCTGTCCTGACATGGTGAAGTTATCAGCTTTTGAAATTAATTTTCTCAAGCTAATGAAAATGTTGGTTTCCTTTAATTTATATTTCTTTTCTAAAATGGCCTGTTTTTGGGGCATAGACACACCGTTTGGTATCACTGAAATCTTAGTCAGCATTGAAGTTTCCAGCATTAAAATCCACTTGAGTTCTATCTTCAATTGTCCATGTCGCTAGAACTCTTTGCTGTCTCCAGTTTTACAGTGCAGAGTTTTATTTCTTTATGAGGAACAGAATTTACTTTTAAAGATCCAAGTATTGGAATTTCTTCTTTAACAGGCTTTGTACAGACTTGTTCACTTTCAGCTGTGCAAAAGTCTTGTGTTATTAGGTGTAATTATACAATGATATATTACTAAACTTTAGGAATATTAAAGCTTACTTGTATGGAATCCAGCGAATACAGTTCATTTAATTTGATTTTGGTTTGTTTTATTATGTACAGAAAGTGCTGTAAACTAGGAAATGTACTCAGTTAATAATGGTTACAATTAAATTTGTAGCCAACTTTTCTTTTTTACCCACAGGCCAGGTAAATCTCATTGTTTGGACTGCACGGGTTCCCTCTTGTGGTTAACTTAACTTATGAAATTGCTTTGATTTTCCAGCACAGTGACATTCTGAGTTATATTTCATTTAAACTACTTATAGCAAAATCACATAGATGTTAATCATCTAACTTTGAAAGAAAAGGTCCAAGAGGAAGCAAAGAAATGAGGAAGTCCTGAAGATTTTGGAAGGTGTCTCATTTCCTTTTGCTATTCTTTTAGTTATTCATGAGTTTCTCCTTTTTATCATACTCTCCAGGTTAAAAAAACACCCACAAAAACAAACAAACCCACAATGAAATAAGCCCAAACTAATTTTTGAAAATAAATTTGTAAAAGGCATTTTACTGTTAACATGTAGTACATTATAAGAGAATGTATTTCATTTAGTTTGGCTCAGCTGTTTGTTTACTTGACTAGATACAGTTCAGAAGAAAAGGAAACATAATTCCATAGGTTATGGTTGTTTTGGTTTTAAATGTTGTCAAATGGTCATTTCAACTTGCCCATTCAAAAATTGATACAAATCCTTAAATTTAGTAGAACGGGTAATTCTTTCACAGTAAGTCCATTATTGCATTTTTAAATGGAGCTTCCCTTTGGATATGTGAAGTAGTGCCTGAAATGTTTGTTACTGTGCTTGGTATAGTGCATTTCATTTGCTTGATAATGAGTAATATTAATCATTTGTGGTGGCAAGGTAGTGTCTCCTTGGTCTTGGGAATAAAAGTATTTGACAGGAATTTGACCTTTCTTTCTCCTCAAGGAATAAGCAAATGCAGAGAGCTCCCAATTCTAGTTCCACAGGGTTTATTTTCAAGACTTCATGTAAAACATCTGTGTAGCCAAAGGGCTTTTTCTAATTAAGAAGAATGGCCATAAAATTCCATGGCTATTTAAATTTACCATTTGTGACTCAAACTGAAATATTAATAAGGGTGCAGATGCAGGCACAAAAAATAATGTAGACCTTATTAATGTGTAGAGCTGTTCCAGCTTGTGCAAACGAAATAAAAGATAAACAAAAAACCCCCATGAGATTCATCACTTACTGGGAAGTCCCATTAGGTTTCTTGTGCATTAGAGAAACTTATTAGCATGCAAATTGTCCAGAAGGTATTGATTCAGATACTGAGATAGGACAATCTGAGTCCTGTATATCAAACCAGTGAGTTTTAAAAAAAAATCACAGTAAAAAGATGAAAACAAAGTAAAAGAGGGATTGTGATCTGACTTTAAAGATTTAACAGAAGAATTGCTTTGTTGTGGGCTCTTAAGAACCATACAAACACAAATGTCCTGTGCAGAATATGCAATACCTACATTTCATCTTACATTTCACTCTTCTTTTTGTAAGCTTTCTGTCGTTTTACTTTCAAAGAAAGGGGGAACAGGCCTTTGGAAAGAAAACGCCTTAAGTTACTTTATCTGCATCATATTTCTTTATATCCTTTGGTGGGGAGCTAACCTGAATAAGTGCTGTAAGGTTATCCCAGTATGGTAACACTTCTTAAATGGATGGAAAATAACTAGTTGCAGGATGTGAAGTCTAAGAGAAGTTTGGTCTGAGGAATCATTGTATTCAGCCCTTTTTTCTTTTTTTTCCCCATGGTATGCCATACTGCTAAATTGGTATTGTACAGCAAAGTCTTTATTATTAGTGTAATTGCAGGGATGGAAAGAAGGAAAGTGGCAGAGATCACAGAGCAAAATACCTGGAGCTGGTCACAGAAAGCAGGAAGCACAGTTCCTAGAAAGTGGAGAAATGACGATGTCTTCCTTTTTAACCACTCTCTTTCCACGCTGCCCCACAATTAATATTTCTTATTGTTGATGCGGCTTCACACGATGCTTTTGTGATACTTGAGTCTTAAGGCCAGGTCCTGAACTGCTGTATTTCCATGAATAAGTAAAAGCCATGAGCTGATCAAATGGGTCAGTGGTGTGCACAATACCCTGCTTTGTGCGGGTCCTAGGTTAGGGAGCAACCTTGGGGCTTTGCTTCCTCAGGCAAACTAGGGCTTGTAAGCATGACAAAGCCTCCCTGGAGAAGCTGGCATTTCCAGGGAGCTTTCACATTCCCTGCTGTCTGATTATTCAGCCTCAGAAGAGGATGCCTATCTTCCACCCCCCAGGGTGATGGCAGGGTTTGCAGCTGCTATTTTGTGAGCAGGAAGCTACATGGGGGCAGAAATCAGTTCAAAACTGAGGGGTGAAAAAGGCTTTTAAATGCCACTGAATATACTGCATCAGGGAGTTAAATGCGGCATGGAAAGATGCAATAAAGAGAAGTAAATGCAAGAAGGGTGAAGGAGTGAAGGAGTATTAGGAGTATTGTACTTAGCCCCCTTTTTTTTTTCCCCATGGGATGCCATACTGCTAAATTGTATTGTACAGCAAAGTCTTTATTATTAGGGTAATTGCAGGGATGGAAGAGGGGAAAATTGCAGAAATCACAGAGCAAAATACCTGGAGCTGGTCACAGAAAGCAGGAGGCACAGATAGAAGTGAAAATCAGAGAAAACTTAATGCATTATAATAAACAGAAACACAAAAATATTTAAAAAGCTCTGAACACAGAAAACAAATGGACTGTAAACCACCCATGCTGTAGCTGTTGCCATCATGAGAACCTGAGGAGCTGGAATGGACAGCAGTTTGTCAAGGATGAGAATCATCCTGCCTGGAAAGTCTTGTAGCCTAAGGTGGTTATGCATTAATTAATTTTAGCCCCACTAGGGAAACATAAATGCTAGATTGTTTTTCACCCTTTCGTCCTTCTCTGGTGTTTATAAACCAGTCAAGTTCCTAGTCAAGAACCTAGAACTTCTGCTCCTATAAAATCTAAAAAATATCCCAAAACATCACCATTCCAAAATATTCTGCGTTTACATCAGCTGTATAGTGTTTACTGCAATATAGATGTCTCTGAACATTATTCCTAGGCTGACGTCTGGAAATAAGCCAAACATGGTAAAAATGCAGATCTCTGCTGTCCTCCTTGATCTGCATCTAAATTTGGATAATATCCCTTCTAAAGCATCTTTGAATATGTTGGGCCTTTTTGCCTAAGAGAAAAAAAGATCAGGCTGTATGACCTGATGGTGTAAGACTTAGTATTTGAGAAACTTTGGGCGTGTTTATGTGTGCTGTATGTGTCTAAAAGTTGCATCCCTCACATCTTAGATAGTGTGGAACAATCTAGCTGTTGACACTGAGCTTATATAATGACAAGAAAAAGAGTTACCAGATCTGTCAATGCAAATGTAGTCCTTGCCACTGTCTACAATCTTTACTTATCTATTACTCTGAATGGGTTTGGGTGAATTCCAGGTGCAACTTAAACAACAGTGGTGGTTTTGCACTTACCTTGCAATAGAGAAGGAAAAGAAAAGTAAAAATAAAGGGGTTCTAGTTAGAAGCATCTATTCTGTGATTTAGTAGAAAATGCGAAACCTGCCCCTCAGGCTTGCTTTGCTCCATCTCTATGTCTGCAACAGGGAGATTACCATTTTTGGTAAATTCTTTGTGTGTGAATTGAATACTTGCTGAAATATTTGGGTGCATAAGTAGGCAGAGTTGCTAGTTTGATTAGTTTGTTGCTGGGGTTTTTTTTTGTATTGGACACCAAAAATACATAAATTGAGCAGAAACCTTTTTTGGAGATGACCAGAAAGAGAGAGGCTGCATTGTGATTGCAGTGGAGTTGTTTCATTCAGGTTTTTCCCAGTGGTGTCCATGGGTAATAGCTGGGATTGCTGATCTGTGGCCTGTGCTTCCTTCTGCCCACCAAGGGCTCTGTGGGCCACAGGACATTTCTGAGGGCCTTTTTCAGAAGTGTTGTTCCAAAATGTGCTGTCCTTGGAGGGATAAGTGTTGGCAGCGACTGGGCAGTGATTTGGCTTGGGGAATTCTGCTGTTGTTTATATTTTATGTACACTCTTGCTAAAGGCTGGTGAAACTGGAATTGTGATTGAGAGCCTGTCATTCAAGAAATGACTATTCAGTTGAAATACAGTGATGAAGTTTAATGAATTTTCTGAGATAACAAACCTTAAAATTGAAGTCACTGGTGGATTATATTTATCATGATTTCTGTGCAGGGTCTGTGCTGTTAAAAGTTATTTGGACAGCAACATGGTCAGACAATGGTTTTCACAGCTGAGCCTTTGTTTTCTTTGTTGATATTTATAGGAGAAGCCCAGATGTACAAGCTAAAGAAGAACTGTGGAAACATATTCAGTAAGTATGGTCCTTGTAGGGTCTGAGAGATGTTTGGTTTGCCTTTAATGTAGTTATTAAAATCCCGTCCACTGTGGCACTACACTGATTTAGTTTCAGTAAATTATGTATATGTTAATGACCTCCTGTGTGTAGAAGATACTGCAGGTCACTGAGTGCACTGAATAAAGATGACCATTGTATGTAAATGAATTATTAAAGAACAATACCTAATTTTAGAGATTTATTCCTGTGTGGCTTCCAAAATGTCAATATTGACACTTTTAGCATGATACCCCATTACCCCTTAGGAAGATATTTAGCAATTCCAAAGCATGTTCACTGTTCAGCACACATAATGTTCATGATATTGTGAAGCAACAAGATCAGATTTGCAGGGAAGTGAGAAGAAGGTAGAACAGGATGAGACATGCAGTTGAAGCAATCAAGGTGAAGTTATACTTATTTCAAAATAAGTGTCCTATTTTGATGTCAAGATAGCTTCAGGGCTGACAACAGCTTGTTTTAGTAAATCTTTTTAGCCAAATAGAATAAAAATTTTTGCACTTCACAGTTAATGTTACAGTTTTTACTTTTCCTAACCCTTTATAGGAAGGAGCTTGTGGATCCATCTGGCCTATCTGAGGAGCAATTGAAAGAAATTCCATACACTAAAGTAGAGTGAGTTTGGTCAGAATTTATTTTTTGTGAATATAAAAGCCCACTTTTTTTACTTTACTGTGAACTGTGTCCTACTGAAATAGGAATGGGTTTACATATAATCTATAAGCTCATATCTATTCCAAATACTCCCCTAGGATGGGTTGGGTGGGGATACTTAATAATCTTAAATCAAATATTTTTACTTTTCAAAATAAGAAAAAAACCCCATCTTAATCTCTCCTAATCTATTCCACACACTCATGAAGGTATCTGTATGTTCTGTATGTCTCCCTATGCTAGCCATGAAACTTATATTATAAACTACAGAACCAGAAAGAAGTGAATGCAAACAAGAAAATAATTTTTTTCCTAAACTTCTTCTTTGTTTTAAATATTCCAATCATCCAAGGCACTCTTTAATCTCTGCAACCCCTTCCCTGGGTTGTCATGGGCAGCTGCCAGGGCATAGCTATTTCCTTAAGAACCAACATCCATTTCACTGCAATAATTGCCCATTTGGGATTCCAAGTGTCAGTGCAAGCAGCTTGAATGTGGCACAAATGGGATCCTGGGTTGCATTATAATGTACTTCCAAACACCACTAGGCAGAAAAGGCTGATGTTAAGGACATATGAATTAATGCATTCTTCGTTAAAGTTCCATTCTCAAATATGGGCATGCCAGTTTGTGACCTCTGCTCTCTTAAAGCATTGAATTCCAAGTGCAGACTTCTAAAAAGAAGCATCAGCCCTTTAAATTCAGCCAGTGCAAGAAGAAGCCATCTGTTACACTTCAGTACAAAATGCGAAGACTCAGTCTGCAGCTGAATTTGTGTTCTGTGCCAAAGATCTGGTTTACCAAGCCCTGTTGTGAATTCTGTGTCTCTCTCAGGACTCAAGGCGACCCCATCCGCATCCGGCACTCGCACTCCCCTCGCAGCTACCGGCAGTACCGGCGGTCCCAGTGCTCCGATGGGGAGAGATCTGTCCTGTCTGAAGTGAAGTATGTGAACATGGTTATTAGCACTGAACTAGTCTAGTGCAGCCCAAAAGTTGACAGAGGTCACGGTGGTAAGAAGCTGCAGAAATGTGGCTTGTTGGTGGCACAGGGTTCAGGTGACCCCCTGAATAGTATGTCTTCAGAGCTCAACATAAAGGAAACAACTCCAAAAACATTTATGGTCTGTTCTCAGCCACAGTGGTTTTCTTGATCCATTTGAAAGGAAGAAAAACTGAAAAGGCTGAAGTAAACCTGTATTGGTCTTTAGTGGTGGATCATAAAGCTGCTTCGGGGATGAGAATCTATGTGTTGCTTTCCAAGTAACTTCATCCTTGATAGAGTTAAGATGTTATCAGTGTTTGGCCTGTAATTTTTTTCATGGGAACTCTAGTACAACCCCTTTCATCAACTGGTGGATCAGTCTTCCCTAGAAGGCTGAAGAGTACTGATGAATGGAAAAGTAATAGCCCCATTTTCGGTTGCAGCAAGGCCATAAAAATATGAAAAACAGTCCCAGCCTGGAAAACTAGTTTTAGCTGGATAGCACTCTGAAGGAGGTGTGGCACACCAATGATTTCTTGTGAGACTTGTCTTTGCCATGAGGGTGGCTGGGCCCTGGCAGAGGTTGCCCAGAGCAGCTGTGGCTGCCCCTTCCCTAGAAGTGCCCAAGACCAGGCTGGAGGGAACTCTGAGCAACCTGGGATAGTGGAAGGTATCCAGACCTATAGCAGGAGGTGGAACTGGAGGATCTTTATGGTCCCTTCAAAATCAAACCATTCAGTTATTCAATGATGTTGTATCAATTTGGGCTCCTTCCGAAGACCAGGAAAAGACAGGAATGGGATGGGCTATACCCTGAAGGTGCCCACAGAGGATCAGCATGACAGCTTTCAGAGGTCCTAAGTCAGGTGATAGAAGCCTTTCAGATCAATAGAGTAGTCTGTGTCAGTTTCATTGTTCTTCCTCTGCACAGTTATAGTTTACCTCATTAAAGCAACATCCATTTTGTGATATCATAATTCCAGTGTCAAAACTGATCTGGTCCCTCCACTGCCTGTTACACGATCTTCAGATGGGAAAGTTCCTAGCATCCAGCTGACTCAACAGGTTAGTGATTGTACACCCCTTTTCAATTTTCCTTTTTATTGGAGGGAGAAGTGGGACTCTAGTGCTTTATTTAAGATAGTCTTTGATTTACAGTGAAAAATAAAGATGAGATTTTTTTTTTTAAATCAAATTTTTGTATTTTACTTACACTTTGTTTGTATTCCAAAATACATGTACTTCTGTAGCATATGCCCCTGTGAACACCTGCTCCTGCTGTTGGAGAACTCTTTCCCATCTGATGCATTCCTAAGATGCATCTCTGCTTGTCACTGAAGGAAAACTGACTTTTACCACTTCTTGAATTATGCAGGTGTGGTTGTGATGCAGGTGTAATCACATCATTTATTAATCTCTTTTAGAGGTTGTCTGAAGAGTTTTGTTGCTTGGGCTTGAAACAGAGCTTCTTTTATTTTCCTTTCTCTTTTATTCCCCCCACCACCTCCTCCCCCCAAATAATTTTTTAGGCTATTGAAATCTAAAAAGAACAGAAGTTGCCTTTTGTTAATCTAACTTAATCACTGTCTTTCATCATATATTACACTACCATATCTCTCAGTTTTGATGGTTTTATTGAGCTCAGAATATGAGAAGCAAATTCTATTCAAAAGCACTCACAGGTCTTTTGTACAAACACACAAAAGGAGAACCGAAACATGGAAGGGAGAATTCCAGACACCTAACTTACCATACCACTAATGTTAAAATGTTCAGTGTGTACAAACACCTCTCTTTTCTCTCTGCCCCAGGCTCCCTCACGACAGTGGACATTTAATTCCTTGTGGGTGTTTACTTGCAGTGTTTTGCTAAATATCAACATGGCATTTCCTGAATAGGCAATAGCACAAAGGGGCAGCAGCTGGCAGGAGGCAAGAAGGGGAAAAAAGTTCTGTTTGATCAAACAAATGTAGAGACTTTAATATTCCTGATGCACGTATATATACGTATACATGAATTGCCATACCATAGCCTAAGGCTTTCATAGCAAGTTAGCAAAATACAATGTTTAAATTCTTCTGTATCTTTTCAACAACATGTTTAATTTATTCTCTTCAGAGGCAGAAAGGATCTAAGGACAGCCTGATAGAAGAACCATCTCTGCTATCCACTAATAATGTTGATGGAAAACCCAGCACTAAGATTGTAAAAACTGTACAGGTGTCACGCTTCAAGGTGGAGACTTGACTGATGAATTGAAGATGGTGAATGGATTTTGGTCTTTGGAAAGTGAGAATTTGTTTACGTGTGCAAGAGAAGGAACTGAAGTTGACATGGTGGTCTTTCCTTCAGGACACCTGGCAGTGCAGCCTGCTTGCTGGGAAGACCAAGCAATGGTTTTATCACCAACACCATTCTAGAGGTGTGACTGATTGAGGACAAGCTGCCTGATAGACAACCAAAACCAAAAGTCTTTTCAAAACTGAAAGATCAGTAGTTAAATTTCCAAAAAATGAACAACAACAAAAAAATTGCTGCAACAAAACAGGCTTCATGGTCTGCTCTGTAACTGAATAGCCTTGTTCCAAGAAGTGACTGTTAACTGACATGATCAGGATCAGATGCTTCAAGATAAGTAAATTAGTAATATTTTTGGTCAATTGTGCAATACAGTGTGATATGGGGAAATTATCTTCACAATTTATATGGGGATCAACTTATGTTCTGAGACATAAGGACAGATAGCTCTTACAAGAGTTATTTTAACCTAGCACAGTAACAGATGCTTGTGTTGTTGACAAAATCTGACTCAACCCATTTTAGCTCAAAAACAGTAGACTCTGTAACATGCTGTAGCAGTGCATTCCAGAGATGATACAGACTTACTTTGCTTTGGGCAGGTTTAAGTGTTCTAAATTTTGAATGTCCTTTTGCGTAGAGAGACTATTTAAATGAACATTCCATACCCCAGAAATACATTTACCAACTTGTAGTTAAGCACATTGGAAACTGGGGAAGATAAATTGACCCACTATGTTAAGACTGCTTAACAAGGCACTTCAGTGCTGGTTAAATGAAACTTGTGGAGTAGTATCTAAAACAGCTAGAAAATAGCGCCTTTTTTTTTTTTTAATCTAGATTAGCAAAATCTGTCTTAATATCTCATATAAAATAATCTAATACTTTTCTCTGAGCCATTTCTACTATGTTAAAATGACAAAGGCAGTATTTCAGGTATGAGAACTATAATTTTTTTTCTATTGTCATGGTAGGAATACTAAGTTTTAATGATGCTGCACATTGAGTGGGTAATCTTCTAATATATATCTGAAGTGATGCCTGGTTCTCCTCTTGTCCTATCACTTCTTACATATATCTGAAAATCACTTCTCTGCCTCCCATTTGTCCACAGTCAGCCCATGGATGAACCTTCAGGTGTTGCTGACTTACTAGGGAGTTTAGCAAAGTCTTTGTGTTGTGGAAGTAATTTTTTGCTAAGTGTAATCATTGAACTAAGTACTGAATTTGTCACACAGTGTCACAAACAGCTATAGCAGCTCGTGTGCCTTTCTACATCTGTCCTCTCTACATTAAACCCTCACAACCCACAGAGATTTGCAGTGATCCTGTGTCTTTCAGTCCAAGCAACACCAGGGAATTGCAGCCCTGTCAGAAAAGCAACACTGCTTGAGAACTGGAGTTAGCATAAGGTGTTTAAGTTACACTTTACAAGAGGCATGGGATTATAATACACATTTTAACTGACTAAACTGGTAAGCAAAATGTTGTACAATGTGTTTTATTTTCCACTTTATTTTTTGATTCTTCATTGTTTCACGATGTGAAGTGGTCAGGTGGATGTTACTAGCCAGGGTGGCTGCCATACAGTTTATATATTCCTATCACAGTATGGAGTGGTCTCTAGGTTAGCAAGTGCTGCAGGGAAGGCAGATTCACTTAACAAATACTTTTCTTTGGTCATTTACTTGGGACAGCTCTGCTTCTACAGTCTCAGTAAACAAATCTAAGGGAAGGAAAGAGCAAGATCAAAAAAATTCATGTAGTAAAAATTCAGTTTTCATGGAGATTCTTTAGAATTTTTTGAATTTCCTGTGGATTTAATTCTAGGACATTGTTGGGCTTGGTTTAAAGTACTTACTCAGCTTTTTAAGTTTGTTAAATGGTTTCATTGCTCCAATTTAAAGTGATCCTGTAGGATCTGTTTATGACCTTGTGTAGTACTGTCAAGAACAACAGTCAAGAAAAGCCCAAACAAAACAAAAAAACAAACCAAACCAAAATGAAAAAAAAAAAAATCCAAACCCAAACCACAACAAAAAACCCTGATCAACCCCTAGGAAAAAGAAATCGCCATAGCAAAATGGCTTAATGGAGAGCATCACAATCTTTTGGAAGGCAACTGAAAAATGACAAACTATACAAGAACTGATTAGTATCAGCAATGAAAGCTGCTTCTTGTTCCTTTGAGAAGGTATTCCAGCTTGGAGCATTACACACTTGCTTATAGTTTGGTGCTTTCTAATCATTACCATAAGTTTGCTATCCTTACACAGCACAGGTAAGTATCACATATCTACTACTGCAGGGGGATTTGTGTTATTGAGAATCATCTGTACATAGTGTACCTATCTTGCCAGTCTTTAAATATTGATCAAAGGTTTATATCAAACCTCATGTTTTCCTGTATGCTTTCATCTTCCTGTGGGCCTTTTGTGTGTTATTGCTGGATACCCTCAGCCAAGTGCATGGTATTTTACTTACTGCACTACATCAGAAAATAGCTTGTCTAGTCTAGTAGTGAAAGGTTTAAATTCTCAAGTCACTGGAGAGTTGTTTTGTAATCAAGCCAACTTTTTTGCATTTAGATGAGAAGTTTACAGAGAGAGCCCTAGATTTGAGTTAGTGATCTTCTCCCTGATGAAGCAGGTTTTTAGCAAGTCTGATGTTAGCCTGGGCCACTACAATCCAGTTTTGTGCCCACAAAAGACTAAAGATATAATGCCTCTATTACACATTTTCCAAATGTTTTGTTGTGCCAAAACAAGGCAAAACTTGCAACAAGGATATCACTGTCAGCTAATAGTACAGAAAAACAAGTTTCTTTCATATATGTGATCCTCCTTTCCCTTCAAGCTTCTTTTCCTCAATCATTTGAGGAAAAGCACCTTTTCTAATGATATTTTTGTGAGAGATACACACACACAAGTGATCAATCACTGAAAACACTGTGTCACAGCTATGCCTTCTACACCTAAACCAGCTCTACATGTCTAAGTGATCAGCCTCTTACAGCTCTGAGCTACACCTTGCCCTCTCCACTATTGCTACCCTTCCCCAGCTCTCCTGGGGCGTTCAGTGCCTAGAGGCAATTGCATTTTCAGATCTGGAGTCTGGATGTCAGTCTAAAATCCTTGTACATCCTGATGAATCAGGCAAAAGACATGAGATCTGTAACAGTGTCAGGAAGTTTACCCTGGGGTTGAATGCCATACACAGACCCCTGCTCACTTGGACAAAGGACTGGTATTTGAGGCCTTCTCATCTTAATTCTCCTGAACTGATTTCAGGCCAATGATCTTAACTTTGTGCCTCTGCCTTTACCTTTTCTGAGACTTCCATAAGTGCTAAGCATTGGAAAGTTATAGAACTCTCACTAATTAGCAACAATTGCAACATATTTGCACAACCTTTTGCAAAACATGTATTTTATACAATAAAGAGGGCTTGTTAACCACAGCACAAAAGGACGGTAGTATATCCTATACTGGTTCCCTTGCTTAGTTGGCTGGTTTCTTTCATTTGGAACTAGCCTGGACATGCTGTTTTCTACACTGCACCTCTTACCACTATCACTAACTCTGCAACTTGTATTCTAACCAAGCTCATTATATTGATGATGTTTGTTGCAAAGTCATTACTATTTAAGTTGCCAAAGTCATTCCCTTTATGCAGGTGGATATTGAACTGAAGAGATAGCATGTTTTCTTTTGGGAAGATTTGTTTAATTCAGAACCCCTTAGAAAGGTGTTTGAAGACAACATACATGAACATACCAATGTGATACATTTGTTCCATATACATTAGGTATTCATGAAGCAACTGTGTGCTTTATTTTAAAATGAGTTTGATAGATGGCTGTGTCAATACTTGTGTCCAGGTTATTTAAAAGTCAAGTAAAACTTGAATTTTTAGGGCATTGCATGGTTGCCTGTGTGTCTTATTTACATTACACTAAGGAGCAAAGCCTTCAGAAACACAGATTCATTTGACACCACCATCTGGTAAAAACAGGTGTAGTACCAATTAAAATCCACTTGAGGATACAGCTTCTCCAGATTAAGTATTTTATCTTGTAGCAGGAAGTTGTCAGTGTAAGCTTTGCATTTCCAGTGCACATCTATACCAGTTTCCTTTCTCACCTAAAAATCACCAGAGAGGAAGCAGCAGACTATGTAAGCTGTCAAAGCAAAAACACAGATACAGAGCCAGTGTGGCAGACACTCTCTCCTTAATGTGTCTGTTTTTATTCCTGTATTTGTTCTCCTTAGTAAGACCTGTGGTGTGTTGACCTTGGCAGGACACCAGGTGCCCACCAAGCTGCTCTATCACTCCCCTCCTTAACAGGATGGGCAAAGGAATTAGATGGAAAAAATCCTTGTGGGTCAAGATAAAGGAGTTTAGTTAAGCAGAAACAAAAGCAAAAAATAACCAAACTCTGAAAGATTTATTTTTTCTACTTCCCAGGAGCACATGGTGTCCACCAAGTTCCCGCAAAGCAGGGTTTCAGTGCATGTAGTAGGTTGTTCCAGAATATGAATACCTTATCCTTTCTCTTCAGATTTTATTGCTGAGCAGATTCTTATACTCTGATGTTTTTTTCAAGGGTGCAATTCAGTTAGCCAGTCATACAAAGTAAAAGGCAGTCCTAATGTTTAACATTGTACTTCACATTTACCAGATTATTTAAGTAATCTGTGACCCTTGCACGCACCTATTGCTCCATGTAGCTCACTTTTCTCTTGTTCTACCCCACTATAACACCTGCATTACATATTGAAGCTTGGGGTTCGACATCTTTTTTAGTTGAAAAGAAGTTACCCTGAGGTTGATACCAATCAAGTATCTAACCCTGGGGTTAGGTACCAATCATCAAATCCTGTCACTAGCTGTAGCTCATGAGATTTTTTTTAAATTTTAAAATGCTACTCATCTTGGTCTTACACTTCAGGAACAAAGGCCCACGAGCGGAATTCCTGAACAGATGGTATCTTCAGGGAATGTAATCCCTAATAAAAACCCTAAACTTTCAAGTACATCCCATAATTACAAGCTGGATCTCTTAAAAATTAATTACTCTTGTCTAAACCTCCTTCTCTCTTGACAAACTAAAAACAACCTTGCACTTAGAAGTATTAACATGCTTACATTCAGTACTGAAAAATCACAGTGCAAGATACACAATTTAAGCCTTTGTTCTTCTGATAAACCATGTTAAGTCTTCCTAGGAAAATAAGCAGCAATCCCGATTATCTCAAGAGTATTTCAGTCCAAGTTATGCTGAAGTACCACATGATGTAGATGGTCAAGGTGATAATAAACCAAGCTTGACGTTCTCCATGTTGGATAAACACCTTTCCTGCTATTTTTAAACCCAGGTTTGCTGAATTTTTACTTTTTAAATTTCTACTTTTGCTTACAATACAAATCTCAGCCAACTCTATCTCCAAATACTGCAGGACACCATGGTTTAAATCATCACATCCCAACTCACTCCTAGGCTTTGTTTCATACAGAGATTGTTGGTATCCCAACAATAACACAAAGACGTCTGAACTCTGAAACAGAAGCATTAAAGCTTGGAAAAGACAAAAATTCTGAGAAGAGAAACATAAATCTTTATTTCTTTGTCTATATAAACATTACCAGACACTGACACAATGCAGTTAAATGCACTTTGTATTACTACATGGAGGCTTAGTAGTCCATCTTTTAAACAGTTTTTTTGTTTCTTAGGCAGGAGTGTTTCAATAGACAGGCATTGCTCTCAGGCTGGTTCTAGCAATTGTTCCTAAGGAAAAAATAAACACACAATGTGAGACACATGTAGCACACAGCTCTTTCCAGGAACATCCTCTAAATCCCCAACACTACTACAATATTACAAAGACGAGCTTCCCCTCATCCCTTGGGCGAAAAGGTAAAATTTGCAAATCTAATTTTTAGGAAGCCTGTCTGTAAGAGAGCCTTCTGCCCACCTAAGCAAGAATTCAGATGAAAACTACAGGCTAGTGGCAGGAATAACACTTTTTGGCTAGTGGGAATCAACAGAAATTTCTGTAGTACTAACTCATGCACATGACTATGCATTAGAAAACACTCTGGGAACAGTAGGCGAATAATACACATGATTTAATAATTTTATGTTGGAAAACAAGCAGCAGCCCTGTTACTGGACACTTTACAAGTAATGGATTACACAAACTTTTCTCTACCCAGAGATTCATACACAGAGTGCCCACCTTGCCCACAGTGCCTGGGGTGCAGAAGTTGTGGATGGATTTCACAGGCTCACTTCCTATCAGCAGCAGGGGTAAAGGATTCAGTGCATCTGTGTTGCTCAAGCAGATTCTCACATTTCATTGATGAAACTTTCAGATTTTATTACTTTCAAGAGCATTATGGCCAACCTGGAGGAGTTTCATCACTTCACTGAAGATTAGTTGTATTTTTTCCTGAAAAATACCCAACCCAAACAAAATCTACAGTGATGTAGTACGGGATCATTCTTACACCAGATTTCCAGTATTGACCTATAAGTTCCTGGCTTCAGAGACTTGGATTATAATCCATGTCACACCCTTGGATATGTAGGTTACACAAAAAAAAAGACTTGATAGTGCATGTAATTTTTATTAATACCTTGTCTGTACTAATGAAATTTGGGCTGACTTGCGCTACTCAGCTTTTCAGTAGTGTTGGCTTTTCCAAGACTTTACAGTGAAGCAGTATCTGGCATATTCCAAGCATTCTTTCATACTTTGCCAGTCTTTTTAACATTTTCAATCTTTATGTTCTGAAATGCTCCACAATATCACACCCCTAAAAGCAAACATGAGAAAGCAAGTCCTTGTCTTGGACACACTGGCAGCCACATACAGATTTAACAAAGCCACCCACACCAAAATTTTTATTTTGTAGCTTCCACTTTGCTCTTTTTGATAAGAATATAGCCATCAGGCTGATCTCACTCTCACTGTTTCAGTTCTGATTTCTGCTCTAAAGTCATTGTGCCAAACCTCCTTCTCAGCAGAAAGCCTGCTTCATTTTAACGGCAGGCTACAGGACAGCATTGCACAAGGAATTATTGCTACTCACAGCTCTGCAATCAGCACTTGGCGGCTTCTTCCCACATGCCCTTCTCAAGCTCAGAGGCTTTCACCACACAGGGAGATCCCAAACTTCCAGCAAAACACACTAGAAACCTGCAGGAAGCATTCCTAGCATTAAATGTTCTGTCAGGAATTTGACAATATCCAAGAACACTTTACACTTTCAAAAGGGCATCAAGGAAAGTCTATTATTCAGTATTGAATAATATGTTTTCTATTCTTTAGAAAATAGAAAATAGAATAGAAATATTCTATTCTAACAAAAGAATAGAAAACATATTATTCAATACTGAATAAGAAACCCACAAATCTACAGAAACAAAACACAATTTTTCCTCTTTAAGAAGATTTAATCTTTTCTGTGCATGAATATTAAGCTGTAAATGTCTTTTTACAATAGAAAATCTAGAAGCCACTGCTAGAAGCCTGGAAAGTTATGTACTAATTACTTGCAGATGTAATGACAGACAGGAGAGCTAAACCATGCTAAAAGCGGCCATTATAATTTTAGCTTTTCCTCTTTTAATAACTGTCAGATTCTCCACTTTAAAAGACTGCAGAATAAAATGACTACATGTTGTTTGGGGTTTTTTGTCCTTGCGAAAACAGAAAGAAGGAAGGTACATAACCGGCTCCCTCAACCAGTTTGAGCAAGAATTCCTGTTTGCCTTTTTTGACACCACATCCATTCTGGACAGGAATGAATGGGCAACACAAAGGCCAAAAGTTACGTATGGGAACTCTTTACCCCTGAAATTAAATTCACAGTTTATGAAAAATCAGCTGAAAAATATTTCAAAATTCGCAATTAAATAATATTATATACAGCGCAAACATTTAATAGGAAAAGCCAAAAATACCATGCTCCTGGGACATCTTTTGGTCATGGTGGTGCACGCTCCGGCCACTGACCAACTTCCATTGCTTTCATCTGGGAAAAAAAAAGGGAGAAGACATATTTGGAAGAGCGACAGACACACGAACAGTACAAGGAGTCTAAAAGGACGTACTAGAGGTAAGTGCCCGATTTCGAAGACAAGCAGCGCCAATAACCACAGCCTCGCACCGCAGCTCCCTCAGCAGCCCCGGCCGCCGCGCCGCTCCCGGCGTGCCTGCCGCGGGGCGAACCATCCCTCCTGAAAAGGAGGGGGGCACTCCGTGCGCCGCCTCCACCTCTTCCCGCAGCGCAGCGGCCGCGTACTGACTCTGCCGCAGACGCGAGGCTACAGATTCGGCCATCCACGCAGAAGTTCTGAGCAGGCGACGCCGCCCTGGAAAGGCGCCGGGGTGCAGATCAACATCGGCTCTCCCCCCTGTCTTACCGCGGCGATGGAGGCGCCTCCGAGAGGGAGGCCGTGTCGCATCCCGCTGTCTGCGCATGCGCAATGCCGCGCCCGCCGAGGCGTGTGGTGTTGCGGAGGGGAAGTTGCTGGTGCTTCCTGTTCCTTGTGGCAGCTCCCGGTGTTCCCGGGGCCTTTGTGGGGGCTCAGGGGGCTCCTGTGTTCCCTGTGCCCTCGCGGCGACGAGGCTGCGGCGGGCAAATTCCCGGGGTTCCCACGGTGAGGTGACTGGACGTAACACCCCATCCCGTGCACCGCTCGCTCGTGGTTGCGATGTCTTCAGGTTAAATTGTCTGTCCCCAGGCTGAACTCCCCTCGCCTTTTGTAAACATAACCAGTGCCCTCAGATGACATACAGTAGAAGTTGCTTAATAAAGAAAAGGACTGTGTTTGAAGAATTGCGCAAGGTTACATCACAGAAATAAATATGCATTAGGTGGACCGAGGATGTTTTGCTGTGTAAGCTGTGACCTTTTACCTTTCTGTATGCTTGATTGGTGGAAGCTTCCACTTTGCTCCCTTGCAGAATATGCAATGTTTCTTTTCTAAACTTAGCTGTTATGTCTGTTCAGAGAGCCAAAATGTGCCTCATCCATCTCAGGAGCGTCCTGCTGTTTGCTCCGCTGGGGGCACATGGAGAGAGGAACCGGTCTTGGTGCACACTACAGGTTGAGACAGCCCTCGATATTTAAGGCTTGAATGCTGGCAGAAGCTCAGCTCTGCCAGAGTGCATATTTTCCACATTTCCTGACCTTGTGTTCACACATTTGAAATCCTGTGAGAAGGGGAATCAGAGCAGGCAGGTACACCAGGAGGATAAACTGGCAGCGTGTCCAGGGAAGAGCAGGGTGAGGCTGGTGCCAGCTATAGGGAAACCTGTACAGCTCTACTACCTGCCTTGCTCTGATGGATTAAGCTATCATCTAACAAAAAATTCTACAACACTACTGATTCCCACACATAAATCCCACAGTTCACAATTTTCTGTGGGTGAAACACAAGACCTAAGGCGCAAGTTGGAATCTCTGTGCAGTTCACGTCTGTGTGCCTGCTTCTTTGCTTGTGGAGTGGTCAGCATTTTCTTGCACTCAATGGGGTTTCACGTTCTTTGCTGGAATCCACCTTGCTCTGCTTCTTGGGGCTGCTGTGGTCTGCTTGCTTCTTTTGGCTCCTCCCTACCTGGGAATATCAGAGGAAGCACTTACACAGTGTCCAAAAGGCAGAGTTGCCAAGTCACTTCTGCAGGACAGCCTGGAGTGTGTTCTGCAGGTGTGTGTTCGCTTTAGCTAAATTACAGGAGGTTATGAGAAGGCTGCCTAATGCCCAGGCAAAGAGACATGATTCATTGCAGCCAAGACATTTAGGAGGAATAAAGACAAATAAAAAGTTAAGGGGCAAGCAGATGTCATCACTTAGAGCTTCTGGGAAAGCCTTCATACTTGCAGGGGTGCTACATTAGTTTGCTTTACAGAAATTAGCTTTTGCATCCTTATGCTTAGACATGTCTAAGTGTATATTAGTGCTCTGTTTATAGCACAAACTAAAATAACATCAACATTAATTTTAAACAGATTCACCTCTAATAGCTTTGGCTTGTCATTTTAAATTCTGTTTTGCACATGAGGAAGATGCACAATTGTCTTAGGCATTGTCTCAAGCCAAACTTATGCATGCATAAAGGTCAGCACTTTGAGTAAAGTGATACTTATAATTCACAAGTAGTGGTCTTAGAGGGACACAGATGAGATTGTAGGTGACAGTCAAGCTATTAAATCAGTGGAGATCTGTTACTCTGTGTTGCTGATACAGTCAAGTGTTGATTTGCTGCTCAGGGACAGCAGCTTGGACAGAAGTTTAAGTCAGATATAAGTAGGTTTTGATTATCTAAGTAAATAGTATAGTGAAGAAAAAGCTTTAAATGTCTGTGACATTTATTATTTTTGCCTGGGGATACAGGAGAACTTGATTGCTAAGTGTTCCATCTATAGAACACTAACTGACTGTATGAACGATATGGTCACTTCAGGTGAACCCAGAAATTGTTACTGAGTCACAGAGTCACAGAATGGTCTGGGTTGGAAGGGACCTGCTTGTCCAAACTCTGTGCCATTGGCAAGGGCATCTTTCATAGACCAGGCTGCACAAAGACACCCTACCACCCTGGCTTTGAAGACTTCCAGTAATGGGGACATCCACAGCTTCCCTGGGCAATCTGACTCTATCCTCAGAGTAAAATTTGTTCCTTATGTCCAATTCTAATGTCTAAATTTCTCCTCTTTTAGTTTCCGACCATTGTTCATTGTTCTGTCACTACAGGCAATGGTAAAAAGCCTGTCTGTATCTTTCTTATAAGCTCCCTTTAAGTATCGAAAGGCTGCTTTAAAGTCTTCTCCAGGTTGAACAACACCAAGTCTTATGAACCCCCCCTCTCAAACCTGTTGAGGTCTCTTTGAAGAGAATAGCTTCTCTCAAGCCTTTCAGTTTGGTAAACTTGCTGAAGCAGTCATATACCATGAGAAAACAGTGATCAAAGCTTTTCAGATCATGAACAGGTTAGGGACATTGATCACACATCCTGTTTTTCTTTTCTTACTGAACAACTTGGAAGACAGTAAAAATAATCAGTGGCACAATTTACAAAAGACAGGAGATGATACTGCACAGCTGGATTTATTTACTTTTTCAAACTGATTCATCTAGTCCTACTAGGGTTAGAATTTTCTGGAAAGTGGCAACATAATTCAAATTGGAATGACTTAATGTGCTTCTCTTCTAGATGATCACAGTGAATCTGAATTGCTAATCTCTGAGTCTGTGATCATTTTATTTGTTACGAATATTCCCACAAAACCAGGACATGCTAGATTGAAGACATAACTAACAATAATTCTTAGTTACCTAGTAGATAAGAAAAACCTCTTGAGGTGGAAACAGAAACCACATTTAAATATGTGGGAGGTTTAACAGAAGGTTAAAGTGTGAGTCCTGCTTTGTCAGGTCAGGACAGTTCTGTCCCAGAAGTTGGCCCTGTTGTTCAGATTATTTATTGTACATTTTGCATGGTTAGCAGCTTTGAATTATCTGCTCTGGTACAAAGCCCCATTGTAGCTTTGTGGCCTCTTATGTGGAATTTGAGTTAAACCACTGTCCAGTACCATGCAGTGGTTGATGTATTCCAATTTGTCAACACAACCACAAGGCACAAGAGGACAACTTTGACCCTAGAGTGATTAAGAAAGAAAAGCTGAACCTACCTAGTGAAAGGCATAAGACACTCAGGTTTTTGTCTTTGAAGTTAATGGTAAGGTACTACTTTCTCTTTTGTTTCCTAAGCATGTGATCAATTATTTAATCACTGAAATTATTTCAGTGTCAATTGGCAATATTTTTAAAGCCAAATTATAAAAGGGCTAAAGAATATTAATTTCTTGAAGGTTTTCTGAAAAGTCATCATTTGGCTGGCTGAAAGTGCGGTGTGCACTACTTATCCTGCCAAATGGAGAAAACATGGGAGGAAACAATGATAATGACTACATTTTCTAGTGTATTCATTCTTTTGCACAAATTTCTTTTCAATCTGTTTAACCAACTTGCAAATGGCACTGCAGACTTCCAGCAGCAAGGTACCTGTGTCTCTGAGTATGTGTGGACAGCATTTGTGTTTTCAAGGTCTGCTGAGTGCTTCAAACCCAGCGCTTAAGTGAGTCTGCTGTTAACAGCTACATAAGCTGAGATCTTTCCTTTCTGTTAAAATATTCTTAAGCACTTCCTGAACATGCACAAAAGGCCTATACCTATTACTGATGTGTTTTGTCAGACCTGAGAATATTTCTGACAAGTTAGTACTGAAAGAGCCCATTAGGCTTTAAATGACATTAACTTCAGTTTTAAAAAGTACTGCATATCATAAATGATCTCTTAATTCACTCTTACTTATTTTCAAAGTAGAATTCAACAGCTGGCAACTGACATAGTCAGAAGGGGGCTCCCTGCACCACCATGCCCCAGGAAAAATAATGTCAAACTAAGTCTTTTATAAATTTATTACTATGTGCAAGGGAGAGTGAATATTCAGTCTTACCCTACAAGTGGAGTAAGCACAATTCTGTCTCCTCGTCCTTTTCAAAGTAGTCATTGATTTCCTGTGAATGCTAATAAGCAGTCAAAATCTGAATCTGCAATAAACATCTTGTTTTGTTCCACTCTGTCTGGGTGTGTCCTTAGTTTTCCTGAGTGAATTCCAACACTAACTTGTAAGGCTAAAATTCCCCGTTGTGCTTTCTTCAACAAGAAAACCAGTTCCTGCCCTTCCTGCCTTGTGGCCTCATTTCAGTTCCCAACATCAATTAACTGCTCCATGAGTTTTGTCAGTGCTGGTGTTTGTGGCAGCATGCCACAAACCCGGTCACTGAAATGGTCAGAGTCCCAAAAACATGCAATTTGCCTTCAGGCACACTAAAATGTGCAGTAGAAGATGATAAAATTAATAAAAATAGTTCATTATAAAATGTATGAAAAATATGATAAAAAGTATGATAAAATAAATAAAATAGCCTGAGAAGAGTCAAGAAAGGTTAAACATATGTACTTCAGTTTGAGATGTATGTTGCAAAGAAAGCTTGCAGATCCACCTATTCTTTGCTTCCTTTTCTTCATAAAGATTAAAGGGCCACTGTGTGCACAATATTTTAGTGATGTTACAGAAAATCCTAACACAGCGCAGTGGACTATTTGGAGGGAGCGTAGTTGTAAAAGCTGAAATATCTT